ATCAGTCACTATCCTCCCTTGTGTTTATCCATATGTTGTAGTTATCCTAATCATTATAGGATTAGGATAATCATCCCCTTTATTTGTAGCAATCCTTATCTCCTAAGGAATATGCTTTATTCTCTTGTATGTATATATATATGTGTAACCACGTGATTAATAATACTATGAGAGTTACAACCTTCTTTATTCTTTAACAAATGCTACTTTGTGAACGTGGTTTGTTTTGTCGATTTTTAATCTTCACGAGACATGGTCTTCCTTTCTTTTATTTGTGTTATCGTATGGTTTGTTGTACATGTGAACGAATAAACGAAGCAAAACTTTGTTCATCATTGATCTCTCTCTTTGTTCTGTGTATATGCTTTATCCGACTCTAAATGTGATACGAACATCCAGCCCATACAAAACTTATTGAGCTGGAAATGGGCTTATATTATTAACCATGTCTTTCTTATTATTCTTTTGTATTTTTGGTACTAGTTTGTCTTATCGGTTGCCCCACCTCTTTTTATCTCTGTCTAACCCCTGATTCAAGTTGTAGGTTGCTTCGGGTAAAATTTATCGAGATTCTATGACAAATGAAAAGTAACGCACACGATATACAGAACTATGACCTGAACCATTTAAATGTGTCTTCATAGATTCGAACATACCACTAAATAGTTGCCAATTAACAATCATACTTCAACATAATTTATTTATCTTCTCTCTTTCTGTAATTGAAAGATGACTATTTTGGAAAGTCGTTTTTATTCACTTCTCAGTCTTTCGTTATTAATTACATTTTCCCTTTCTGAAAAGTAAGATTATTCTTTTCTTTTTTCAGATAAACTCTATCTACTTATCTTGTGTTATCACATTGTTTGTGGAGTATTTTCCAACTAATGTTAAAAAGTTGATTGATCATCTATTACATTCTATTATGTTAATCACTTGGACCGAAATCGAAATCCAGACTGCCAAGTAAAGGAATAGGATTGCCATGATGAGGCTGGTAAAAAGTGAAGATGGAACGGTGAGTTAAAAGGGACATATATAATGTGAGCACTGGAAAGAAGTAGGTAAAAAAGTTATGGAAGATCATAGTCATTTGAGAAATGAAAAAGTGAATCTTTGAAATATATCACCTTTTACTATGAGGGCAAAAGAAAGTTAGGAGAAAAGTATCTATAATGTTATGTTAGGGTTACATCTAATTTTTCAAATATATATATATATACTTTATAGGATTTTTATATAAATTCGTTAAACTTTGGGCAAACCTCTATATCTAAACTTTCTTTTATTCTCTCTTGATTGTTAGCTGATTGGATTTATATATTCGGGAAATTATCTCCATCTAAGAAGAAAATATTCGTCAAAGAAAAATTTCACTTTACGAAAAAGTGCGAGAGATTATACTTTGAGTTGTAAGCTAACAAAATCAAACAAAAAAAACTTGTGTTATCTATTTATTTATTTCATTGTTCTCATTAGTTATTGCCCATAAACAATTGTTGTGGAAACTTTGAAACAGGATTGCCATGAATCCAAGCGCGCAACAGCTTATAAAACTTGTAATGAATTAAACTGTTATCAAGTGAAGGCATCAGGCTGAGATTAATAAACGGAGTCGTTTAAGATCATTGAGGATGTTTATCAAAAAATGTGAATATTAGCAAGAAAATACGAAAAAGTGAAGAAAAAGAAAGTTGGATAGCCGTGATTTGTAGAAGACAACAAAATTAAAAAGCAAAGTTAAATGATGAAAAAGTGTTTGCCGAAACTTTTCTTCACCTTTTTTTGCCTCTTGGGTGTTAGTATAATAAACATTTCGAGCAAGAAGAAAAAAGAAAAGAGAGATAAGGCATAAGATTCCATTAAGTGAAACTGAAAGGTGGATAATATTTGAGCTTGTCATGCGTTTCTAGTGTTTATAAGTTGAGTGTTACGTTTATCGTTTCGCTTCAGATATTCCTCTTTTTTCCACCTTTTCATCACTTTAGTTTTATTACCAATTTTTATGAAATGGTATTAGCTAGCATGAACTGAGTCTACATAACTGAACTCTCAAGTAAAAAGAAGTACGATGAACGAGTCTATGTCGAACTTATTCCACAACTAAAACCTTAAACTAGTCTGTGTTTTTAATTTACCGATCCAAGTTTGAAATTACTTTAGATTCCCCACAGATCACCTTCAAAAATACACACTTCGGAGATAATTGGTGTTACCTCTTGCCAAATGAACTAACAAAATTCATTGTCACCGAATTATGTTTGTATCATATGGAAATTTTTTGTAGATATTTTTTTAATCCCTAAATGTTTGTTGCACTAGTTTGTCATCATTAACTTTCAGTACATAATAACCCAAAATATATAAACCCGCAGATTTAAGTACGTGAATCCATAAATGAAAATGTAAGGAAAAAGATTGAATTATACTGATGAACGACACCTTACAAGTTATAGCATATACCGTAAAGTCTGAAATTTTGTAAATATATTAATGATCACTGAATTTTTTTAAAAAATAGTAACTTTTAAATATATCTGCTAACTTGGATTGGATGAGGGCGAGTCATCCTTATTTGCGGGTAAAGGAGATGAGTCTACACATGCTTCATTTGACTTCTGACTGAAAATGAGGAAGACGTTTGAATACACTCACACATGTATTATCCTAATATATTTATTTTGATTTGCTACGAAAAATACTCTCCAAATCACTACTAATTATATTATTGTAATCATCACTACATTGTCTAATTTCGCCAAATTTAGACTGAAATGGACTTATAGTTAGCCAGTTTTGCTAACTATCATCCAAAATAAGTGCTAGTTTATAATTCACTTGTGCCGCTTGCCTTTCAATAAAGGAATAATTTGTTAAAAAAAATAAAATTAGTTAATGTCGTCTGTCGGAAATAGATAAACGACCAATAACTTGCTAGATACTGTATTTTGTATAAGAACATTTCAATGTAATTAAGGAAATACAAGTACTTTTCAGTTGCAAGTATTGTTATGAAAGTCTTGTTTTTTATTCCTTATCGGGCTTTGCTTACAAACGGGTTCACATGACCGACTCTTTTATCAGTGCTCATGTTGTCCAATCAATTATTTTTTGGTACAAAAATGTTGATTTTAATGCGACTTGTGAATTTCTGTGAAAGAAACGAACATCAAACTTAGAAACTCCTCTGACTGATTCAGATTCATGACAGTGTTACAGTCTTACAGAGATGATAAAAGATAATTAAAGTAGCTAAAAGATCACTAATTCCTAGTTAACTAATATTTTAACTTTTCCTTAATAATTTCCGCGAAATTATAAAAACTAACGTAAACAAAAAAGTTTTAAGGAAGAAAAGCAGGAACATGGGAGGAAGTGAACTGTGAAGGATGCTGATGAGGAGGAGCCTGATCTTTAACCTGACTCTCCGCCGTGGAAGCACGGTGTCCACACCGATCACACTTCACCGGAGCCAAAATCCGACGACAAGAAGGACACGACGACCGAGAAGTCAACCATTTGTCTATGCACGCCACGTGGAAGGCGTGGTTGCAAAGCGGTAGTATCCTGATCTCTTCTCCGTCGGTAAACTCCGTCAAGCATATGGCGCACTCGGTGGATGAATCTCCATCTCCGCCGGAGGAGCTCGGAGAATCTGAGGCGGCGGTGAAGGTGGTTTTAGGGAGGGACTGGAGCGCTTTTTTCTTGAGGCCTTTGTTCGGCGGCGGAGATTCTCCAACGGCGGAGGAGTTAACGCCGGTGAGGCGGCGGAGCCAGGCGCAGCGAGCTACGGCGGCTAAGCCGGCGACGCATATGAGAGCGCAGAGAAGAGCTGAGAGGATCACGACCATGTCGGTTTCCGCGGCGAGGATTTCTTCCGGCGGTGGTGGCGCCGCCGCGGATCCGAGGAATCTAGAGGACCGAGTCATGTTGTGTTTGCTTTTGTTGTTTGTTTGAGGATAAATAGGGAATATGTCAAAGTGGTTGAGATGAGATAAAGAAAGAAAAGTTTGTGTTGATGTTTAGAGAGGGAGAAGGAAACTGATCCAATTGGTAATAGAACACACACACATAGACATATGTGTACATATATATGCCCAATTGCAGGTAATTATTTAAATCATGCATATCGGCAGAAAAGTTTGTATGAATAGGAAAACGTAGTTTTACAACTTTACTCAGATATAAAAAATGAGATTGACGTATCATACAATGATACAAACTGTATGATACAAACATATTTACATTTTTTTATTTAGAGTAAAAGATTGAATTTTTATCTACCTTTAATAGGTTTAAACCTTCCTTAATTTTTCCTTTAATAAATAAAGGATATAGAAAATGTTTATTACTAGTGATCTGAAATTAAAAGCTTTTTTCAAAAAAAAAAAAAATTAAAAGCTTGAAGCTTATTTTAGTTATTTTTTGTTATTTTAACTTTGAAACTTTTTGATGCTTTTCTAAAAAACTGGAAGTGATAATAATTGGCAATAAGAATTTCTCAAAATCATTAACTCAGAAATAAATAAATAATTTCTGATTTAAATAAATGAACACTACTACAAAATGGCCAAAAATATCTAAATATCTAATATCAGTGGCATAAAGCTCTGGAACATGCGTCAACAACATAAACATTTCTTAATATATCTAAAATATCTAATTTAAAGATCTTCAAAACAATTATTATTATTATCTCTTAACCCCCATTTAGATGTAAAAAATATGGAAATATCCTAATCATTCCCTTAATTATTATATAATAAGAATCAAATTGCCGTATGTTATTAAGAAACCAAGCAGAGAAAGATGGGTAGATGTCGCAGTCTTTATAGGTTCAGTTTGACGAACTCATAATCAAAAGGCATAAGTATAAGTTACTTTCTCACCTAAACCTACTTCGACTAGACTCTTTTGTATTTGTGTATTCTTCACTTTTTTTATTCTCTATTTTCAGTTCACTTCTTTTTATTTGGCATCGAGAAGAATCCCTTCAAAACAAAAAGGCAAAAGATGGAGGTCTCAGACAAAATGGAATTGTTGACAGCTGGTTCAAAAATTGGATTCAGTAAACTGTATTTCGAAGTTCTCAGCATTACCTAGTTTCTCTTGAAATACTAGAATTTTAGCTGTGGTAAATAGGAGGTTAACATATTATCTTCAAGTTCTTTTTTTGTCAACATTATTTCTAGTTTCTTTGGTCGCTCGACTCTTGGAGATAGCTATTTTGGTTTAGGTAAGTCAATTGCTTTATAACAAATATTTTATTCGTAAGAGTTTTAGTTTAGATTTGCAATATATATCTTGTATTTTGTCTAGAGGTGTAGGTGTGATCTTTGATAATGATACTATCAAGCTTCAGAATCTTTGTAATGGATCTACGTGTCCTTAAAAATTGAAATATTTTACATTATAAAAGTAATGGCTAGTAACACTGTCCACGTGTATAGAAGAAGGTTTTGATCATGTTTCTAGAACATGGTCGGTAGAAAATTATTTATACCTCGATAAAATAACACTAGACTAAAATCAAAAGTTTGCAAGCCAAAATATCTTAAGATTCACCAAGGTCTTGGGCTATATAAAGGAAGATGGATGGAACTTAGCAAGCTTGAAATTGAAAGTACACTCGGAATGGAATAATCTTTACGTGTGATGGGAGTCTTAACATCTTTTATGGAATCACAAAAATTGAAAAAGGCAGACTGAGTTAATATGACCAATAAATTAATACAAGACACACACTAGAACCAAAAGAAAACCCAACAATAATGGAGGATGGAAGCATTAATTATAACTTGTAAGAAAGGGAAACAACAATAATGGCAAAGCATCAATTATATTGGGGAAAGGAGCATCCATAATTCATTGTTTTGGATAACGCCTACTTAGGTTTATATTTGTATGTTGTCTCTTTTTATACAAATTAAGATAAAGATGTTGTATCTATTATCCTTTTGTCAGATTGCTCAAGGGTTATTATAACTGAGAGGAATTTTTATTTATTTTTAATCAAAACCCAAGAAACCAAGTTGAGACTTGAAAGTTGAATAATGCAAAGCAACGAGTCAAAGTCGTGCCTCTCACGTATAGTATTGTATGTTCATGCTATAACGCAAGATTCATGTCGTTTTCTCGGTGCGCAAACTTGTTTTGACTTTTGGGTCATGAATCTATAATGTCAAAATATTATTTATATATAAACAGGACGTCACAGACTCACAAGTACTTGACTGAATCATCAAACATCATCATGTGTTCATGCCCTTTGATCTTGTTTTCCTGATTTACGGATTATGAAAACTTCTTTCTACATTTTATTGGGCTCAACTTAAGGCCCAAATAAAAACAGTCCCAACTTTTACACATGGTTAAGTCCTCTGAACCTCGAACCGTGGAAGAAGAAGCTCTTCACGATCCCAACAATGTCTATGGCTGCGAAGGAGATCGCAAAGGTGAAGCAGAGTGATTTGTTCTGTGAGTATATGCCCTCGGAGTCGATTTGTAAAACTGTTGTACTGCTAACTCCATGGGAATCAAGATTGTTAAGGATTTGGAGTGATTAGTGGTTCATTTGTTTTAGCAGTGAGAGTGTTTTGTAATAACTAATAAGTAATAACGTATAAACACGAATTTCAGTTTTTTTTTACTCCATTGCTCTTGCTTGTTTCAATGAATAACTCCAAAGCTTTGCAATCATTAGGAATCCAAGTAGAGATTGAATTTGTAGATGGAAGTGGATTCAGTTTATTCTGACTTCTGAAATGTTGTAGCTTTGATCGTTTGAAGAACTTGTAAAAGGTGCAACAAATGTGCGTTGTGGGGCGGCTATGAGAATTTCGATCGTTTAGAGTAAAGCAAAACCAATATAATTGTTGGTTCCTTTAGCTATCAGACCTGATTCTGTTCTCATGAAGGAACTTCTTTCAATGATTTTCTTCTCTGTAAAGTCAGTGTTCCAGTGAATTATATATCCAAAGTTTTAATAATTTGAATGAAATATGGAATTGCAGAGTCTAAGTATAAGATCATAGAGTACATTAATCTCTCTCTCTCTCTATGAAGGAAATGGGAACTGGTAGACTTTACTTGTTAGATCTTCTGCTGCAAGAAGCATCAAGGCATCTTTGTATTTGTATTGTTTGGAAAATTCATTTTGTTAGAACTGATCAACCACCTCTGATGGGTTTAGACCAGGCCCAAGATTATGACTACCAACTGGCTATGGTGACCGGTAGTTGTTGGGAGCCAAACCGGTCGTTGGCCCCTATCAGGACTAAAAAAGACGACAGTTGACCAACCGGAGCAAAAAAAAAAAACTACTACACATGAAAGGGCAAAACAGAGAATTACGCAAAAAAGTTTAAATCAGGAAAATCTGAAGCAAAGAAAAGAGCAAAAAGAGGGGAGGGGGTCTGGTCTCAGGGCCACACGCAATCTCAGTCCCATTTTTCCTCTCTTCTTGTCTTTTCTCTCTCTCTCTCTTTCTTTTGTTCTAAGAAAGGAAAGCTCTTTCCCCCAAGATCCAATTTTTGACGACCTGTCGCTGTTTGAATTTTCAGACCAAATATGTCGTGTTCATCCTCGTCTGGATCAGAAGGTGAAGAAGAAGGTTTCGATTCTTACCGCAAAGGTGGTTATCACGCCGTCAGGATCGGCGATCCTTTCTCCAATGGTCGTTACATCGCCCAGAGAAAGCTTGGCTGGGGTCAATTCTCCACCGTCTGGCTTGCCTTCGACACTCTCTCCTCTGTACACATCTCTCTCTCTCTTCTCTCCCCTGCTTTGATCTCAATCCTTAGATTTTGATTCGTGCCTACAAATCTAGATCGAACCACATTCCACAAAACACTCTTCATATCCAAAGGCTCCACCTTTATACACAATACGCATCTTTAGATTCTAGTTCAAGATCGTAGCTTTATGCGATGATGATTCCGATTTTAGAATTGCAGATCGATCCCTAAATCTATTGCTGTACTAAGAATGTTATATCCCAAAGAATGTGTTTTTTTGCTTTGTATGTGTTGTTGATGTGTTTCTCTGTTTTTTTGTATGTGTTGCTCTGTTTTTTGTATGTGTTGTTGATGTGTTGCTCTGTTTTTTTGTATGTGTTGCTCTGTTTTTTTGTTGGGGGCAGAGCTATGTTGCTTTGAAGATTCAGAAGAGTGCACAACAATTCGCACAAGCCGCACTTCACGAAATCGAGTTCCTTTCAGCTGCTGCTGAAGGAGATCTCCAAAACACCAGATGTGTTGTTCGTCTCATTGACCATTTCAAGCACGCTGGTCCCAACGGGCAGCATCTCTGCATGGTGCTCGAGTTTCTCGGGGACAGCTTGCTCCGTTTGATCAGATACAACCGTTACAAAGGTCTGAGCTTTGATAAAGTCAGGGAGATTTGTAGATGTATACTAACCGGTTTGGATTACTTACACCGTGAGCTTGGTATGATACATTCTGATTTAAAACCTGAGAACATTCTTCTTGTTTCCACCATTGACCCTGCCAAAGATCCGGTTAGATCCGGGTTAACTCCGTTGTTGGAAAAGCCTGAGGGGAACGCAAACGGTGGTGGTGGATCAACAATGAATCTGATTGAGAAGAAGTTGAAGAGGAGAGCTAAGAGAGCTGTTGCTAAGATATCAGAGAGGAGGAGTTCTATGGTGGGTGCTTTAGGTGGTGAAGAAGCAGCAGCATCGTCCAAGAGTGAGAGGAGTCTCGATGGGATTGATATGAGATGCAAAGTTGTTGACTTTGGTAACGCTTGTTGGGCTGATAAACAGTTTGCTGAAGAGATACAGACGAGACAGTATAGAGCTCCTGAAGTGATACTGAAGTCAGGGTACTCTTTCTCTGTTGATATGTGGTCTTTTGGTTGTACGGCTTTCGAGCTTGTTACGGGTGATATGCTGTTTGCTCCTAAAGAAGGGAATGGTTATGGTGAAGATGAGGATCATCTTGCTCTTATGATGGAACTCCTAGGGAAAATGCCTCGGAAGGTACTGTTCTTTTGTTTGCTTTTCATGTTTTCTTTGGTTATTGATGTGTGTTTGAATGAGCAGATTGCTATTGGTGGAGCGAAGTCAAAAGACTACTTTGACAGACATGGAGATTTAAAGAGGATCAGGCGGTTGAAGTATTGGCCATTGGATCGTTTACTGGTGGATAAATACAAGCTTCCGGAAGCAGAAGCAAAGGAGTTTGCGGAGTTTCTGACTCCGGTTCTGGAGTTTGCGCCAGAGAAACGACCAACTGCTCAGCAGTGCTTAGAGCATCCGTGGATGAAGGTAGTAAGTACACAGAACAATGCAGATAATGTAGAATCCCAAGTGAAAAACTTGAAGATCAAAGGATGAGAAAAACTCTCAACTTCGTATTTGTATTTTTTCTCTTTTTTTTTTTCCTTCACACCTTTGTTTTTGTTCTGTTTTTTTGAATAACTTGGATATTTTTTGTTTTGTTTCGTTGTTCTTTGATTTTTGGGGACTTATGTTTATTGGTTAACCATCAATTTCATTTGTTGCTTATAAAGAACTGTCTTTTAGTGAATGAATGAGTAAACAGATTAACAAATAAACATACATAGTGCATACTCCCTGGCGACAACCATCAACATTCGTACATGCATAATTTATATGTCATTGTCAGACATGTCAATATCAAATAATGTATTGAAGTAATAACATTTAAGTATACACGTTCTCTCACCTCCCAAACACACATACTTTTAGAAACATGGCCAGATGGTTTCAACTTAGACCACATGTGACGTTGCATGACTGAATTTGATTTGTGTCACACGTTCCATATCAGCACGTGGTTCACGTGCCACCCTGTATACATTCATTCTCTGAATCTACCATATATACCTCTCTTCTATGTATTTTTTTCCTAAAATTCCCCACTATCTTCAAAGTTACCCACTCCCCATCATTATTCTATGTGCAACAAGTTAACAACCCACTTCTTATTAACTAGTTGTTAATTAAGTATAGAAGAAAATGGATTAAAACAAAAGTGAAAATAGCATTTAACAAACACTACATCACGTTATTACATTTCTTCACCATCAACGAATCCAAACATCACATTTTCTTCTACACAACACTGTAATTGTAATTGCAGAAAAAAAACTTAAATTCAAAATAAAACCAAAAAAAAAAAGGAAACAACAATGTGAATGTTCTACTGGAAATTGCACTCCTGACCAGATCATCTTATGACCGGACTGCTCTGTTCTGCTTTACACACCTTCCTCACCCGTGTGATCCACGCAGGTTCCGATGTCTTGAGCCCTAGAATTACAAAATGCTCAAAGGAAGTTTCTTTAGCTTCACTCTTCCTCTTCTTCTCCCCAGTGAGTTACTTTCTTCCTTCCCCGGTGTCGGTATCGAATCCACTTCATCCGGTTTGAACGCCTCCCGGTTTGATTCTAAACCTTCATACGAGCTCTCTGAATCCACAACCTCAGCAACATCAATCATCTTCTGCTTCTTATTTATCTGACCATTCTCCTCGAAACTCGAGCGAGCTAAATCCTCTTTCTCGTCTCTTAACTGTCTCTTTGAATACAAGCGCTGAAGAGGGACATGTTTCTTCTGCTTGCTCTTCTTAGGAGACGACCTCTCATTGCAATCTTTAGGGAAAGAATCAACCAATTCCAATGCCCTCTTGGCTGCAGCGATCGCCTTTGCGGAAATCAATGCCTTCTCGTTCGCTACTCCCCTCGCCGCCTTTGCGGCTCTAACAGCTAAAGCAGCTGCGGATCTAGCTGCTTCCACGAGCTCTTCCGGTGACTGAGTATGGTTATTGTTGAAACGGGAGGATAACAAGTCGTCAAGTTTGGTATAGACGTCTGTTGAAGCAGAGGAGGAAGAGTTTGAAGTTGAGGATGAAGAAGAAGAAGAAGAAGATCCGTTAAGTCTCTTGAATCCAGCAAGTAGTCGCTTTCGAGGTGGGAGATGCGAATCTGAACCAAACTGATTCGTTTCCATCTAATGTAATAAACCCAATTCAGAACACGAGTTAGTGTCCTAAACTGTTGTCTGTAAATCAGATTCAATCGATCGGAACTTAAATTATTTCAGATTTTGAAATCAAAACTATTCTATTTCCTTGAAAATGGATACTTTATGCAATCAATCGTTAAAAGAATAACATAAATAGATCATCAGAAACACATTTGGCATCCATCCATAAACGCAATTTCAAAATCTCATAATTAGCAACAACAAAAAACTTGACATGAACATTATTACATAAGGTGATCGATGAAAAGGGAAATTACACAACACTGAAACAACAAGAATCATACATCAAACAAAATACATATAAAGAAGAATAAAACAGAGTGGCTAGATGAAGAAAGCAATTACCTTTCCAGTTTTTGAATTGCCACAGCTTTGAAGCTATCTTATCTTCTCAGGTTTTCTTGGGATAAGAGAAACAGATGAGAGAGTAGAGGACAAGGAGACTTAGGGTTTGCAGAGGGAGAGAAAGAAGGGGAGAATATGGCAATGGAGAAGACAAGAGAGAAAGATTATTCCAAAATTCTATTTTATATGTAAACCCTACAAAATCTCTCTCTCATTCGTTTATTTTTAATTATCTTTTTTTTTTTAACCGTGATCTCTCTTACAAGTTACATGACATAGACAAGAACCTCAGAAAGACTCACCAGCTGGTCAGAAACATTCCTCCGTCTAACCATATTAACGGCAGTCATGTCCTTTATTTTTATTTTTATTTTGAGATTCATGTGAACCTGCACTTGGCTGATGGCTCTGATATTACAGTATTTCAAAGAAGCTAAAAAAAAAGAATATTCGAGCAGTTTATTGTTTATACTTTATAGTCTGTCACCTAGATAGCTAGATTTCAACTAAACAACACCGAAAGTTTAAACTAAAAAATATTGGATCCCCCTCTGAACAGTGGCGGATCTAGAAATTAATTTTACTGGGGACAAAATTATACAATATTTATTGAGAAAAATCTATTTTCAAATAACTTTTAGTTTTATAAATAGTAATAAAGCAAAATTATTGAAAATTCAAAATTTTCACAGATTATTAACATAATTTAAACATGAACTTTATGATGATTCTCAATATATTTTTAAAAAATCTTACTTTTTTGGAATGATGCAGAAGATCATAACCATTATTATGGTATTTTAGAATTCTTTTAAAAATGTATTTATTTATGTTTTTGTAGTACTGTAGTCTTTAATATTTATGTGAGAAATGAAAAAAAAAACTATAAGTTAGATATTATGTAAAGTCCAAACGAAGTTGTACAAGCCTTAATGCATTGAAACATCTGTAATTATGGGACATATTTATTAGTTTCTATAATTTAGTTGAATTTGTTATTTTTATAATAGTATAAAAATTGAGAAAGTGAAAGACACGCGGGAGAAACTGAAATTAGAGTGGGGGCAAAACTGAAAACTTAAAACTGAAATGGGGACATTAATTAGAAACTAAACTAATTAATGAACAATTTATTAATTTTACTGGGGGCAGTTGCTCCCTCCTTGGTGTGTAGGTTCGCCCATGCCTCTGAATCGTAAGAATCATGATGATGGACAAAAAAAATATTGGATCCCCCTCTGAATAAATAGAAAGAGTTCTCTAATTGACAATGGACGTAAGAATCATGATAATGGACAAAAAAAAATATTGGATCCCCCTCTGAATAAATAGAAAGAGTTCTCTAATTGCATGAAAGGAGTTTCTAAAATTTAATCTCGCTATGATCGGAGTTAATGTTTTTTTTTTGCTATATTAAAATTACACAATATGTAGATGGATGATAAAAGTTACAAAAACATAAATTTGAAGTGTAGAACTTGTCACTGCTATATAACCACATTATTTGGTTTAGTGATTTTAATTGAGGAGATAATTGAGGAGTCGTCCTCTTAGTCTAAGGCCAAAGATCATTTTTTTCATATGCAAAATTACTAGTTTCATGTATAGCGAAACGACATGAATCTCTAATTTACACGAGCAACTGGACTTAGAGCAACATTATCAGAGGGATTTGGGCCGTCCCTTAGATATTTTTGGGCCAAAAATAAATCAATAATGTTAAGGAACGTTGCAAAAGGCCCTTAATTAAGGGATGTACGGCGTCGTCCCTTGCTTCTTCTCTCTCGACGATTCTGCGTCTCTCTCTGCTGCCTTTCCTCGTTTGAACCATCCTCTCTCCTTCTCTCTCGATTTAGTTTCTGTGTGGGGGAAAGTATATTCCTTTTGGATTGATCTGATCATATAAAGTCAGAGATATATGATCTGCGACTTGGGGTTTATGTAAAGCTGATAAAGTTGTTTCCTTTTGATCTTGTTTTTCAGTGGGAACATTGTTTGGAGCAGTCACATGAGCTTTAATAGGTCAAGAAACAGAGAGTGGTTTCATCCGAGGAGCTGCGGTTGGAGCCATCTCAGGAGCTGTTTTCTCGATTGAAGTCTTTGAGTCATCTCTTGTTCTCTGGAAATATAATGAGTCACGTTTCGGTTGCCTCCTCTACTTGGTACGAGCTTTTTTAACAGTTTGAAACCACTCTTTTGTTCTGTTTTCAGAAACTGATTATATTGTTTCTTTGTTAATGTTTTGGTGTAGATTGATGTTATTGTTAGTCTTATAAGTGGTAGACTTGTACGAGAACGCATAGGTCCAGCAATGTCATCACATGTTTCCTGTAGGAACTTTAAGTTGCTGATGTTTATGTAAGGGACAAGGTTGAGTTCCACCAATAATCAACCCATTTAACAAAAACCCTTAGCTTAGTCCCTAAACATAAAAATAATACTAAACAATGTTAAGGGCTCCAAAACAAATCCCTCTGATAATGTTGCTCTTACATGTCACCAGTAGACCCGCCACATGAGCAGAATTGGTCAGGTTTTGACATAAATATTTCTTCTGTCTAATAAAAAAAAAACTTATTAAAAACGGATGTAGCTACCATATCATTGACGTGATTCAGAATTTATGGTTGATGGATATTTTAAGGAGTGTGGTCGATCCAATCGTACTATTACTTATAATCTAATCTTGATAGATTTATGATCATTATTCTCTGCTCTATAGTTTGGCGGACATAGTCAACTTCATCATCAACTTGCCGTGCCATTTCATTTTCAACAGACCCCAAAAAGTTAGTGAAATTATTTTTAAAATTGAAATCTAATGGTAGTAGCGCATCGTAATTATCAGCCTTGTCTGACCAAATAAATATCAATCAAACACTGAAGAGATAAAATATCAACATCGTTTAATCTTTTTGTAATAAACTTATTATTCAGAAAACTATTTCCAAATTCATCCCCTCTGAGAAGGATAGTGGTTTTTTATTATAGAGTCGCGGTGATCAATAATCTGGTGGCTATCTTTATAGACCGACGGGTCGACAATCTATTTTCCCACGAGAAGTATCGTATAGCACCAAATGTCCATGGAACTATGACCTCATTCTATTTACCCCCGAGAATAAAGTTCAAAACCTATTTCCCCATCAAATTTGGTTTAGTTATGATATCTGAAAACCAAATTTCAAATCTCCACTCTCATATAATAAACTGAGTAAAACTAAACCAAGAAAAAATAAAAAATCCGACCAATGGATCAGAATACTAACCCGACCCAACAATCGAACTAAAAAAGATCCGACTGATTGGATCTTAATCTGATTAGTCATTGGTTTAACATGGTTTCCGGTTTGCTTACAAACAGTAAACCAGTAAAAATCGATTTTGTGGGTTTTTGGATTTCGATCTTTATAATTATGGGGAAATATTGATATAACTTTAATTTGGTGGGGAAATAAGTTTCGAACTTTATTCTCGGAAGTAAATAGAACGAGGTTATAGTTCCGTGGACATTTGGTGCTATATGATACTTCTTCTGGGGAATCAGAACGTCGACCCTAGACCGACCAACCCTCGGCAGTAAGGTTAGATATGTACAAGGTTTTCTATGTATCGTGCTAAGTGACGTTTAGATGAATTCTAAAAGCTAAAAGGCTGCACCTGTATAAACCCCTTGACGCCAACAGATTCAGTAAACAAGCTACTTTCTAAGTTTGTTATGCTCTTGTGCACGCTATAAATCTTGGTCATGAAAATCTATTGTGGAATGCAAAAAAAAGTTTATCAGTGAAAGAGTATTTTAAAACTTAAATTCTGTCATTAACAACATATTGGGCTATCATCATCTTACACGTAAAGCAGCCAGCAGGCGACGAATCTACAAGTTCTGTAACCTCACAACTTCAGTGTTGTCTTCTAAACGGATCTTCCATGTTCGTTTGCTTGTATTGGCAGTAGAAAATTCACGTGGATGCTGGTTAACCAGATAAAACTTGTTTCTCTTCACTGATGATTTCACGTTGGTCTGTGCCAATAACAGCACACAATGCCTTCCAAATGGGAACCAACATCTTCAACGACGGACGCAGTTCCTGTACAAATAGGAAACCGAACCTAGAATCAATGGCCAAAAAGAAACAATTTATTGGTTCCCAGATTAAATCATTGGTAGCTCGTTCTCAAAGTTGTCAGCAAAAGTTTCTCTCACAATGTGCTGGAACAAACGGTTTGCATTACCTTAAACACCAATGTAAGCTGTTCTTCATCACGCAGGAATAAGGAGAGACTCCAGTAACATGTAACGGGTGTGACACATTCCACAAGCACAGGCTTCAAAATCTTACTAATGGGGATAAACCTGGAGACAGTTTTTCCACTGCAAAGCAGCAAAAGCATACAAAAGATTAAGTACTTGTATGATTGGTAGAAGCACAGATGACAATAGCTAATGATTAAAACTAAGTCCACCCACCACTACCACCTCTCTAATAGACCATTAATATGCTGTATAGTTCAAATCCTTCAGTCATCATAGAATGCAGACAAGACATACTAGCTAAACAGTTAATGCGTACCTTAAATATTGAGTTTCAAGTTGGATCCCGAAGGTTGGCATGATTATAACAGATTCTGAACAGCTCAAGTAAGAAAATAATCAGTTTTAAAGATGTGAAGACTTATATCATTTCGTGTAACGTCAAACCGTGTAACGAGGCCTCACCTTTCTTGACTAACTTCAGACTTAGTATCACGACAAAGAACCCAGTTAACATGCAGCTCCAACAAAGATTTCTACCTGGATTGTCCTGTTTCAAGTGAATTATCCATCTCAGATATATATCCCATGTAGAAATACAGATAGAACATCAACAAAACAATCTTTCTAAAGTAACACAAACATGCTTTAAACAAAACTAGCCATGTATTAACATATTTTGCTCAAAAACAATTCAAAATATCAAACTATGATCCATTTATCATTCACTGTGATTGATTCCTCAAGACCGTCTCATATTAAGCACTAGCAGGACTTGTTCTAAGCAATGACTCAGAATTACTCACATGCAAATTCATATCTAAGCTAACAAACATCTCTTAAATTTATCATTTACCTTTCCAAGAAAAAAATACATAGAAGCCCCTAAAATCACAAGGAAGAAAGCAAGGCCCATAAGACGGAGATAACCAGTTGATCTGCTCGTATTGATGATCACATTGTGAATGTCAATGGCTCTTCTAAGCAGCTCACTTTCACTTTCGTGTATGTAAGTGTATCTCTTACTCGAAAGAGACGACCTCACCATTGTATATATCACCGTCGTTTACTTCCTATTCATTGAAAGAAAAGGCCTTCCCCAAACACAGGAGACTAGCTTTTCAATACCCAAACAAAAAGGTTTCAGACTTTCGCGTCTCACTACATTCACCCAGCACAACGGTTTCTCTGCGGCTTTCAGACGAACAACTTGCGTGCGTTATAAACCAGTTTCACCATTGAGCCTTGTCAATCTCGCCAACTCTGTGCCGTTTCTGATTAAAAAAAAAAAAACTAAATGCCGGTGTTTTGTTTAGTTACAAAAACGCTGATTTTGACGCCTTGCCGTTTTTGTGTCTAAAAAAATTATAAAACCTCTATTAGCGATAACACGGATTCGGATATCCAAAAAATTTAGAGTATCCAAATTCGTTGGATCCATGATTTTAGTATTTAGATTTGAATTCGATTCTTCCAAAATCCGAGTTTTGTATATCCGTATAGATATTGTGATATCCACAGATAACTGAGCGAAATCCACAAAAATAATTTTAAAAACACACAAAATTAAAAATAATACAGAAATTCTGTATTTATCCAAAATTTATAAATACATATAATATATAATATTATTAAAATTTAAATTAATATATAAGATTTAATATATGTAAAAATATTAATTATCAAATAAAATTAAAAATAATAATATATGTTAGAAAGAAAAATTAGCATATTCAGATCTAATAACTAAGATATTTGAATCTGAGATTTTATTATTCGAAGACAGACACCTATTTTCTAAGTGGATCTAGAGCGGAACTCGGATCGGATCCGGATAATAAATTTCAGATATAAAATCTACTCTATTTTTTTCATTACCTTAACTCTAATCCTACAGACTGTGTGCCGTTCTTCAAGAAAAAAAAACGGAAAACGACGCCGTGTAATCTAATTACGTAAACGCTGATATTAACTCCTTGCCGTTTTTGTAGTCTCCAGAAAAGTATAAAACCTAATTTAGTCTAACTCTAATTATTCATTACAATATTACATTAACTCTGATCACCGTCGCTCCGGTCTTGTCTCCCTGTCGTTCCCACGGAGAGTTAAAAAAACCCAAATCGAAAGTTCTCGACTTTTTTTGGATTTTGCAACCATGCCCTGCAAGAGATGCAACGGCACCAACTTCCAACGCGACGACGACACAGGGAACTCGTATTGCTCTGGATGCGGGACGTTACAAGAGTACGACAACTACGAGGCACAGCTCGGCGGGATAAGAGGACCTCAAGGCACTTACATCCGAGTAGGCACCACCGGTACAGGCTCCACCCTCGCTTACAAAGAGAAGAAGATCTTCGACGCAGGTAACTTAATCGAGGACATCGCGGAAAGGTTGCAACTTGGTGACAAATCCGAAGAGATTAAGCGTATGATTAGTAAGATCACTGATGGAGAGTTTGGGAGAGGTGAGTGGTTCTCTGTTTTGATTGGTGCGTGTTGTTACGCGCTGGTGAGGAAAGAAGGGAGAGGAGGTGTTTTGAGTTTTGATGAAATTGTTGATGTTGTTGGGTGTGATTTGCATCAGTTGGGGAGTATGAGTAAGCGTGTGGTGGAGTATTTAGGGTTGGAGTTGGGAGAGATTGATCTTGTGGGGTTGTTTATGAAGACGGCGAGGAGTTCAGTTAGGTTGAGTGGTGTTGATGGGAAGAAGAAGGAGAGGGTGATGAAGCAAGGGGGGTTTTTGATGAACTGTTGTTTGAAGTGGTTTTTGTCTACTGGGAGGAGGTCTATGCCTTTGGTTGTTGCGGTTTTGGGGTTTGTTTGTCAGGTGAATGGTGTGAAGGTGAAGATTGATGATTTGGCGAAAGATTGTAATGTTTCGGTGTGTACTTGTAAGATGAGGTATAAGGAGTTGTTGGAGAAGCTTGTGAAGGTTGCGAAAGAGATTGGTTTGCCTTGGGCGAAAGATGTGACTGTTAAGAATGTGGTGAGACATTCAGGGACTTTGATTGGTTTGATGGAAGCTAAGTCCATGAGAAAGAGAAGAGATGAGTTGGTTATAAGTGATGGGATTTGTTTGAAGGATATAGTTAGGGATTGCTTAAGCAAAGAAGCTATGTATTGTTATGATGATGGTGAAGGTCAAAGGAGCTCGTTTCTTCAGATGGTATCGTGTGAAGATTGGTGGAAAGGGAGATCTAAGATGAGTCAAAGACTTAAGCTCAAGGAAGTGTTGGAGAAAGATGTAGGGCTTGATGATTTGCCTATTTCTTACATAAAGGGTTGTGATGCGGTGGCAAGAAGAAGAGAAAAGATTAAGGCGGCTAAGTTAAGGATTGATGCGATACAACATCCTTCTAGTGGTAGTGAATTGTCTTTGGAGGTTGAAGATAGCAAGAAGAAAAGGAAGAGAGGAGCTGTGATTGATTGGGAGGATTTGGTTATACAGACTCTAGTCTTACACAATGTGAAGGATGAAGAAATAGAGAAAGGACATTACAATGCTTTGCTAGGTTTGCATGTTTTCCAATAAATTGTTATGCTTCTTTTGAGATTAAAACTTGGGGGTAAAGAAGAATGACTGTAAAAGCTGAAGCTGTTTATTTTATTTTATTATAATTAAAGAGAGAGGAATTGTTCTGAAGATAGTAAACATCAAAGCACAAGCTCTAAGAGAGTTCAACATTCCTTAAAAAGAATATATAAAAAGTCTAAAACTGATTAAAACTGACTACGAGATCCATTTCTTTGATCTCTTTGATTATTAGAAGTTCCCCTTCAGCCTGACATGCCATAATCTTCAACATGATCATAAAGGTTGTAGCTGTCAGACAATCCCATCTTTCCAACAAGATGATCATCCCCTACAAAACACACAAACCATAACAAACTCTCTGATTATTGTTCAGACACAAGTACACAAGTTCTCTCCACCATATCAACAAAGCCAAACAATGTTAAGATAATGTAAGGAACTTACTTGGGTTTGATAGGACTCCAAGCAAGTGAAGATCAGAGCTCATCTCAGGGCTCTGGAAGCAAAGATCTTCAGGCCTAGGACTAGTACTTGCTGTCCCAATAGCATTGTTGCTGTTATTGTTTCCATCAGGAAGAACACGAAGACTCTCTGGTATCTTTCTCTTCCCATTCAATGTCTCCGTCTCAGTCTCTACCTCAGACTCACCGTTATTGTTATTGTTGTTGTTAGAAGAACCAACACCACCATGCTGCTTCCTCTTGGAACGAGCACGCCGGTTCTGGAACCAATTGTAGACGTTTTGGTCAGAGATCTGGCCGTGTTGGCTCAACTCTTCAGTTATGTCTTTGATCTTTTGCTTGCTGGGTGTTCCAGTGCCTTGGTCGAATATACGCTCCAGAATCTGAAGCTGCACCGGTGTAGGAGTCCACCTCTGCCTAGCTGTCATCTTGTGACCAAGTGTTGGGTCTGCATAGAGACCTACTAGTCTCCCTCCTGTTATAACACCAAGGAGACAAACGAAACAGAGTTGGTAAAGTTGAAGTAAATAAAAACTGAAACTTTAAATACATCTTAATAACAACAAACTAAAGGGTTTTGGTCTTTGCTTCAGATTTGAACTGCTAAATGTTATAAAGGTTGAGAATTTCCAATTGCCCATTTCACAAGACAGAGGAATCAATCAAACCAAACCAAAATTCTGAAAAAAAAAAACTAAAATTACAGCAAAAAAGGGACCTTTTTTTTAATCTATATGAACAGAGGAAGAAGCTAAAGTTATTAGGAAAGGGAAGAGGAACCTGTAAGATCTTGTTGAGAAGTAAGAGTTTTGTGCATCTCAACGAGACGCTCACAAATAGTGGCGTAGATAGCAATCTGTTTCCTCAGAGTTTCGAGCTGCTCGTCGGTCATCACCTTCACGTACATTCCTCCTGAGCTGGAGCCGCCACTAACATCGATCCCCTGGAGATTCGAAGAGTTGTGGTTGTTATTGTGTTGCTGCTGATGATTATTATTATCCCACTCCATCATCTCTTTTGTGTCAGAAGTTTCGTCTTTTCTTCTTTGTCTCTGTGTGAACGAAGCAAACAGAGGAAGAGTCAGTGCTTTTTACGGGAGTAGAAGGGAAGATTAAAGCAGAAAAGGACAAAACAGCTGAATTTATATTAAAATTCTATTTTTTAAGTCGTCTAAGAACAAGAACAATGATTACCAGAGGAAAAAAATAGAACGATCAGAATTTTCTAAGCAACGGTAACGTGATTCTTCACAATAAGAGTGTATCATAAGAGGAAACCATTTGAATCATATGGTTATTTTGTTTCCTTATTAGAAAATGACCGTTGAAATTTGATTTGCTAATATGTATATTTACAGTTTACTTCCATAATCGCATATTTATAGTTTTATAATTTACTCATACAGTCTAAAAAGTTTATACAATTAAAATTCTTATTCTTATGTTATCAAATCATTTTCGGCCATGGCATATATTAGAATTGTAATTTATTCATAAAAAGCTTTGATTGTCCAACGTACACATATTTATAAATGATAACGAACAAAAATAAACAACGCTTTGATTTACTCATTTGCTGACCGGTTAGCTAACATTCCGTAGTAGATTGAGAAACTGAGGATGCGATCTAACTTCTCTGACAGATTCCAGGTTATATTTTTCACAATTATTCTATAGAGAGTATTAGCTACAATGCCTATCTATTATCTAGTTCAAAATTAAGAAAAAAACGTATAAGAAATGCAAAGAGCTGGTGGGCCAGTCATCAGGACTTTTAAGTTAAGGAGCCACAGACTCCACGTGTTGCCTAAAGCTTAGAACTTGTAGGTGGTCGGTGTCCGCCGCCCATGTTCCACGGGCACTTAGGGGTTGAAGATTATAATAAGATTTCAACTGAATCATTAACTGTATAAAACAAAAACAGAAATCCAGTGAAAATGATCTCTGAATAATAATAGTAACAGAAAATTTAACCATGGTTGTCTTTGTTAAATCGGAATAAAATGTGAGCATGGTCGACAAAAACAAGAAAATAAAACGTTCATGGCTCATGTCGTATAGTATGTGTGTAAACTATTTCTTATACTTTTCTCAAAAAAAAAAGAAGTTCATATACTTGCATATTGCAACCTTTCAACATCATAATAACACATTTTGAATATAGATGAAAATTTATTTTGAATGTTTTAATTAATTCCTATGATTGTTCTGGTAATAATTCATGTTATTGTATGTGGATTTATGTTTTTAAAAGAAGTTGTATGAATTTATGTTTCTGGTTTAGTAGTCTAGAAAAAAAAAATAGAAACATTTGTTAGTCTCGTCGTTTTCTTCCGACAATGTTTTTGTCTTAAGTAATTCTTAATTGTCAACATTATGGAAGAAAATAGTGAGGTTTGCATGTGCTAGCTTAGGTCAAACATCGAGACCAAACTGTTTACATAAACGCCAAAAGGTCTATATTCGTACATGTTTGCCTTTTTTTTTTGTTTCTCTATTACGAGTTCATGCTGTGGGCGCATTTGGTACTAAAACGATAAGTAATAAGATTTGATCTTAACAATTAAAAGAAAACAATTTTAAACCTGAATTATAAACTATATAATAAAATATGACATAATTATTTGACTAGTTTGAGATCTTACATCAACAGTATCTACCACTTTCAAAATAACTTTAGGAGATGCTAATTGGTATTAAAGCTATTAAATATATAAAGAAACGTTTAACTTATTAATTCTTGCATGGTGAGACAATCAGTGATGAGTGATGACCCAGAATAGAACCCATTGGATTCTCTTAGGCAAAGCTTCTTTGGATTCTTCCTTTAGATTGAAAAGTTTGGTGTACCTATCGCTTCTCTACCCTTATTTTATGCTTACTTCTCTATCATGATTTTGTATTTATTCTGGAGTCTATTTTACTGTAATTTATGTTCTTTAATCCAAGAGATTAATTAAATCCACTCTATCATTGTGTGGCTAGATTAAAAGTCAGCATACTGATTTGGATAAAGTGATGGTAAGACTTAATAACTTGCTGTCAGCTGAGTTTTACTTCAAAAGGACATTTGGAAAAAAAACATGATGAGAGTTTGACTACATTTAGAAAAGTCTTGACTGTCTTTACTTTGTTAGGATTGTGGAATCCTTACAAAAAGAATATCACAGTTTATCACGAAGGCGTGATCACATCAGGGTCACATAATCTCCCAATGAGAAAAGGTGAAACAACATTGACTCTATAACGTTCTGATAACACACAAATGAGTAACTAAATCCATGTTTGTATACACTGTTTGTTGCAGCCTGCAGGGTTGTTTTCTTGTCTTCAAAACTAAATCCTAACGCACAACTAATACAGAAACAATCGAGGAGCTTTCTAAATTTTTTACTACAGCAAATTTTCCGTGTGGAACGTAGTAGAGATCAATACAAGTAGTATTAGAGTTGACGATGAAGAGATAGGTGAAGAGCTGGAGATAGGTAAGGTCTACTTTGATATCTTTAGAGTGATGTAGCAATTGAATCTGTGTATGTTTCTGATCGTTTTCTTCTTGACATATGAAGATGACATTGACATTGAGGATAATCATCATCATCATCATCCTCAACAACAACAACAAGAATAGCAGCCGAAAGAACAAGTGATACCGTCAAGGATTAGTACGCAGAAGAAGCTGGCGCCAGTTTCAAAGGTAAGTTGAAGCAGATGACGGCAACCAATAATGAGAAGAGTCTTGTAACCAATGAAATAAAGATAAGCTTCTCTGTAGCCTTCCAAATGGAAGTTTTGTAACTACGCTCTGTGATTTCATCTTCCTGCGTTTTTTTTTTTGCAGGAAATAGAAAAGACTGCAATGTCTTTCTCTGTACAGCAACAGAATTTCTGAAAGCTGTTAGAGTTCAATAAACAGAACTCAAAATCTTAGTGCACTCTTTTTCTCTTGCTCGATCGATTAATCTCTATTGGAATCTATGTCCTGAAGAACTCATAATGCGAAAGAATAATATTCACTTTGTTTGACAATGTTGGAGAACGAATTAAAAGAATAACATTCATTAGCTCGCATGAATCATTGACACATAAAATGCGCTTAGTGATTCAATTCACCATAGATGACGACAACATTAAATGCCTAAAGGAACAAAACCACTATTCCATCAAACAGAGCCAGAAAAAAAAACGATTTCCTTCGAGACAGTGTAACTAACTTTTCATCAATCATAAGACAGCAAAATATAAATAGATTCATGCAAAAACACATGAAACCATCGGATAAAAAGTAGAGTAGGAAGATGAAAGTTAAATCCAAAGTCGTCATAACAAGTTGGGAGTAGGTACGAATAAATCCCAGTTAACATAAAAGGGGGAAAACATAGCAATAGTAGTGCAAACTATTCTTCTCCCTAAAAACTAGTAGCTAACAACAATACAACATAAGACAAATCGATGATCCATCTTCTAATCATCATCTTCCTCCTGTAAAACAAAAATCAAAGCAAGTGTTACACACTAACAAGTAGCAAGTAGACACAACAGAGATATTTCAAAAGAGTAAAAGTACAAACCTCTTCACTTGCACCTTCAGCCTCATCGTTGACTTCAGACTTGGACTTGTCAGAGTCATCATCTCCAGCTGTGCTAGTTCCATTAGCCTGGAAAAAAAACATTACATTTGGTTAACATCAGAAAATGACAAAAAGTGGTCAACAAGAAAAGTAAACAAACGACAAAAGAAGAAAAGGAAAGAATACCAATTTCATGTTGTATTTTTGCATGGTCTTGGTATATTCAGTCTTCTTGGTCTCTGCCTTGGCTACATAAGGAGCCTTGTCCTGTTTCATTCCATTTTTGAGTAAAATTAAACAATTAGATCTAAAAGATTATACACAAAATAAACAAAAAACAAACAATAGACTCACTTCATCAGTCATGGATTTCCATTTAGCTCCAGCAGCTTTACCAACCTAATGTTTTACAAATATTCAAAACTAAGAACCATATAAAGAGAGTAGTGATTGTAGATCTCAGATTAGTACTACTTACAGCTCCGACAGATTTGTTGTCAGGGTTAGCTAGATTGAACTCCTTACGGAATCCCTCCCTGAAGAAACTTAATTAGCAAATCTCTTTAATCAATTGCGAGGAAGAGGAGACACTTACAGGAAGACGAAGAAGGCACTTGGAGGCCTCTTAGGCTTGTTTGGATCCTTCACTTTCTTTCCTGCTTTCTTTCCTCTCGTTTTCAATCTGACAAATCAAATCAAGTCAAGTCAAAACTCAAAGTGTTTTTCATGTTTTGTGAATCTCAGATTCGCTATGTGTATGTGATTAAAAGAAGATACCTGTCGTCAGTGCTCTTCCCTTGAGATTTGGTTTCACCACCTTTCATCTTCAGATCTGCGAACAAAGAAAACGTGAGCAATCGAAGAGTGACTCAGACGAGAGAGAGAGAGAGAGAGATGGAGCTTTACCTGTGTGAACCGTTAGGGTTTTTTTATTTTGACCAGAGAGAGAGACGACGATTCAGATTTTTTTTCTTTTCTCCGCTTTTACCCTTTGTTTTCGATGTGCTGTAGATTCGTGTATTTACCAAAATTATAGATTTCCCAACGCTTTGTATTTTTAAATTCTTTTTTTTTGCAAATTTGGTGGTGTGGCCTGGTAAATTATTACAGTGGTCCTACTTTTGAATCTTGACCGTCCGTATATTCAACAGTGTCCAGATTAGACACCTGTTTTGTGTTTGGTAATAATCTGGTTTTCTTTTCTGGCGCAATATGTAAAGGGGCTATATAATAATAAGTGTTGGCGCCAATATTTAACTTTTACTTTTTTTTTTCTGGCGGAATGAGCTTTTTTTTTTGTTATACTTTCGCTCATCACTATTTAATATTTACATCAAAATATTAAAAAAAATAACTGGTAAGATCACTCACCTCTCTAGAGAACAAATCTATGAACTAACAAATAACACTCGTACATAGTCACATTCTCTCCTCCTGACATTGATTAGAAGAATTGCTATCCTTTTCTCATTTCGATACAAAAATATGTGAGCGGTACAACTTCGATTTAGTCTGAATATATATATGCTTTTATTTACACAAACGGTCTATTTCAATTTATACAGTCTCATCCACAGTGATGTCACACACTTTCATCTTCACGTCTCCTCTTACAGGCGCGAAAGATTCGAACCTACTGGAAAATAAGACACTATGATTGGAGCTCTCGGAGATTTTGATTTGCTTTTTGGTTTATCCAAGGACAAGACTTCCGAGTTGCTACCATCGGTTGAGGTTGAGCCGGATTTGGGAATGAAGCAACCATAAAAGAATTCTAAGAGAGACATGATCATAGGAGTGTTAAAGAAAACGTGCATGATTCGGAGTCTATATACGATGGATGATGATGTCTTGGGTTTAATTTCAGGTTATTTTGTAAAGTTTATTTACTTATAAGAGCGCATCAGCGTTGAATGTTCTTTGGACACGTTTTCTCGAAAATGACCTCTTTAATTATCTTGCTCGCCAAGCTATAACCCTTTCTTAACTATGATATCTTTGACAATTCACGAATACTTGATCCGACTCTTCTAGTTAACATATATGGCCAAAATGGGCCAACTCTCAATGGCATCATCCTCGTCTTTTCCTAATAGTCTTCATATCACTAATCCAAGCAATTTATTATTATGGATGTGAGAAAACAAAGCGCAATGAAAGACGCATATTTACATGGTTCATCAACGTATTCGGTACGGTCGATCTAGGGTATGAAAAAGTTGTTTGTTTAGTAGAGGGGAAATTAAATATACGGTATAAAACTGAATAATTCTCTATAGCTAAGTGACACTTTAGCAATGGAGAGAGCAACACTTGTACAACGAAAATTCATGCCAAATAATTTCTGAGACGTTTCACTTCTATGCAAGTTCGGCAATTGAGTGGAGAACAAGTGTCCAGCCTCTTACGCTTCGGAAGGTTCCTACCATAAACTGTACTCTCTATTCGCCGTCAATCTCTTCATAGTCAAGAATTAGCTAGTGTTTTATGGTCTAATTAGGCAGCATGTTCTTGTGGCTGCTATCTTATTTGTAAAGTGGAAAATAAAGAGATTGCAAAAGAGAAAACACATGCGCCTACTCTTGAGGATCAGAGTGTCTAAGCAGCGTTTGAGAGTTTGTGTATTTCTAATCGTTAACGCTTTGTTTAGATTTTTGTTTTTGTAAATGTTAAATCTTTGTTTAGATTTTTATTTGATACCATCAACTTGTGAACGTTGGAACTTCAATCCGGTCCAAATACAAAGCAGATACCTTTTTGTGGTCTATATACGTTTTATCAAATATCCTTTTCAAGGTTTTCATATGATTTGACTGATTTATAAATTACAAAAACAGAAGATTAAAAACTAAAAGAATAAATAAAGCACGTAGTCAACCTCTTATAGGCCTAGCAAAATCGAAATCCTTAAGCAGAGAAGCACAAAACTAAAGCAAATTGGGTTCTATTGAGTGACCGCCACCACAGTTGTCTAGAAACTGACACCGGTGAAGCCTAGGACCAAACCATCTCACAATAGAAAATGGTATTCTCGCCATTTATTATTTAAATGGTCTATTACAAGTTATACATAATCAAACAAACAAAAGGACTAGAGGAACAAACAATAAACGAATGCCTTTACAACAAGTATGTCAACAGCCCACACACTTCATCTTCTGGCCTTCTCTCACAGACGCGAAAGATTCGAACCTACGGGAAAATAAGACACTATCATTGGAGCTCTCGGAGATTTTGATTTGCTTTTTGGTTTCTCCAAGGACAAGGCTTTCGAGTTACTACCATCGGTTGAGCTTATCTTTGAGCTAGATTTTGGAACGAAGCAACCAAAGACGGACGCTAAGAGAGACATGACCGGAGTTTTGTAAGAAAATGTGTGTGCTCCGGAGTCTATATACTATGGCTGATGTTTAGATTTAATTACAAGTAGCTTTGTGAAGGTTATGTATTTATAAGACAAAATCGTTGAATATTCTTGGACACGTTTCAAAGTGACTGACTTCTTTTATCTTGGTCGCCAAGCTTTGCTCTTTCTTAACTATGATATCTTTGACAATTCATGAAATACATTCCGACTCTTCAAGTTAAAATATATGCCAAACTGGACCAACTATTGATCCATGTTCAATGTAGCCTAAATTTCCAGAAATATAAGATTAAAATTAGGAGCCATCGTCTTCATATCACTATCTAATCACGTTTTCCAAAAGATACAATTAATTAAAGACTATCACGGGATAATCGTCGCCTTTTCCTAATAGTCTTCATATCTATCACTGTTGCAATCAAGTTATTATGGATGGTCGTGAGTAAACAACTATTCACAAAAACAAAACGTGATCAACCCACTCATGCATGCCAGTTTTTGTGTTTGATAACTCCAGATATTGGGCTAGGCCCAATGTATCATATTGAGCGTAGTTTTCTGACTCACAGCACATGACTTGACAACTACATAAACGAAAACACAAGGAGGGAGTATATCACCACATTTGACCGTATTGGAAGAGAGAACACTCAAATGCCTAATTTATACTGTATGATTCATCTACCAAGTTGTACGATTAGATTATTCTTGTTATTCTATATACTTTTATTCTCTTTAAAATGAAACTACTAATATTACTAATATGGTCATTTTAAAACAACAACAAATGTTGCCATATCTCAGACTTGCGCCGAGCGTGTGAGCATCTGGCACGCTTACACGTGCGCTCACCGAGAAGAACAATAATATAATAGTAGGCCCACAGGCCCAGTCCTGGCCCAGTGGCTTGACTAGTAATTCGAGAGGTAAATCAAGGGTATTTTGTACCAAACTCGCTTTGAAACTTTTTCACTTGATGACGAAACGTTTCTATATTCTCATAGTAAAACCCTTTGGATTCTTTAGCAGATTTGTTTACATTAAAAGTAAACATTCTATTAAAAAAAAAAACTTTAAAGCCGGTTTGGTAAAAATCTCCCAGTCTTTGCGTCTCTTCGTCTTCTTCGGACAATGGCACATTCCTTGACCTCACTCGCCATTTTCCAGGGCGTCAATAATAAAGGTAAGTCAACACTGTAATAGAATCTCATTCCTGTCGGGTCGGGTCTAAAAGTTTTTCTTTTTGTGTGTGTGTGGGGTAATAATGCAGAGATGATTAGGAGCTTGCATGTCTACGGATCCGTGGAGATTGAAAGAGAGTTCTTGTTCGAGAGGAAAAGCCGTTATGTGGAGAAGAAAGCTAAGCCTCTGTTTTGTTCGGAAGGTCTCGGGCGGCCGGAGATCTCGCTAGGTTCGCTTTTTGGCACGTGGAGATGTATCTTCGTGTTCCGGTCTAACCACTCGCTTCCTCAGTTTCCTGCTCTTCTCTGCCCTTCAAGGTAACGCCTCCTCTCTATAAGCTTGCTTCTCTCAGCATTTGATTTTTGTTGGTAATTTAATTTTTGTTTCCGTTAATAATTTAGTGCGGTTACATAAATCATAATTTCGTTTTATTTTTGGGTACTCAGATCTTTTTTTAATGAATTCTTGATTAATATTTAATAGGAATATATTGTTTCAGTCCTATTGAACAAATTTGTTGTCTGGCTCCGGAAAGATTGTGATCTTTGCTGTTTATAGCTCCAGAAAGAATGTATATCTTAATAGCTTGTATAAAATTCTCAAGTTTTAAATATAATCGAATAGATGACAAAAAGACAAAAAAAAAAACAAATTTGTGAAATATATATCTGGATTTTCTTTTATTCACTGAGTATATCAAAAAGAAAAAAAAAGGTGTGATTATTACGTTAATGTCCGTACTTAATATACTTGCAAAGATTCCTTAGCTGTAAACAAAGAGGCTTTTAGTGTTCTTGACTTGTACATTTCTAGAAAACCAAACATGTTTTCGCTCTTCTTAACTTGGCAGAAACCCTAAGCTGGTGGACGTCCCTAACTTAGCTAATGTGCTCAAGTTTATCTCTGAGTTAAAACCGAAGAAACCATCAAATATTTCCGAGCTAGAACAAGTCCCATATTGTAATGTTGACCAGCCTAAACTGCTGGACCTCAAAGAAGATAGAGTTGGAGATGGTGAAGTTGATCTGGCTAAACCCCAAACTTTTGTCCTCAAACAAGATCTTAACAGCCTTCCTGATTCAGAAACTGAATCTGAGGAATCTGAAGATGGACAAAGTGAACATTCTGCATCGGGTAGCTCTTTACTGTCTAGAAAATGTCAATATGTTATAACTCTAGGCTAGTTCTTAAGCGTTTTGGTGGTGGTTAACTGTAAAAGTACAGATGTCAAGACAGAGATACTGCAGAAGAAGAGGAGGACACCATCCCAACATGTTGCTGGACTGTCTTTAGAAGATCTTTCCAAATACTTTGGTGTTCCTATCGTGGAAGCGTCTCGGAGACTCAATGTCGGTCTAACGGTATTGAAAAAGAAATGCCGAGAGTTTGGGATTCCTCGGTGGCCTCATAGGAAAATAAAATCTCTCGACAGTCTCATCCATGATCTTCAGGTCTTCTCCGTCTCCCTCTCGCTCTCTATCTCTTTACGTCAGTCCAGTACTTGAAATGACTGAGACAAGCATTGCTATGTTTTTGTTTTGCTTAGGAAGAAGCAGAGAAGCAGCAGGAAAATAACAAAGCAGCAGCAATGGTGGTAGCTAAGAAACAGAAGAAACTTGAGACAGAGATGAGAAATATAGTTGAGAGACCATTCATGGAGATGCAGATAGAAACTAAAAGATTCAGACAAGACAACTTTAAAAAAAGACATAGAGCTTCCAAAGCCAAGAAGAATCAAGAATCTCTTGCCACTTCCTCTTCAACTTAAAAGATCTTAGGTCTATTCATTAACAAAATTATCGAGCATATTAGTTAGTTTTGGAACTTCTGTCAAGTGTTTTGGTATCTCTCAGTCACAAGTCTAACAGATTCTCCTAAGCCATATGTTGGTTTGAGTACATTTTTTTGGTATCATGACTTTTTGTGGAATTAATTTATGTTTTACCAATAAGGTTTCGAGTTTCTGTGCAAAACTCGTTTTACCAGATCATGACTGCTTAATATAACCAAATGACCAGTTCATAGTCAAGATTCAAAACTTTCAAAAGTGTGATGACAATATTAGTAAATGCAATTAGTGTTGGTGTGTTCTTGAGTGGCCCCCTTGGTTATCTCGTGCTTTGACATTCTACAACCACTCAACAACGACAACTGATTAACGTGTACCGTACAAAGAGGTTCGAAACTTGAGGAACCACTTCAAGTTTGTTTGAGTGTTTCACCGACTTTATATAATGAGAGGAAAATATGCATTTGTTGAAATTCTCTGCATTCGAATACGTGGATTGAAATTTCGTTTTCATTTTTACGTAGTCGAGTATCATTTCGGCAGGCTTTTTTATTGTATTTAATCAAAATTTTGTTTTAATAATTCGAAGGAAATAAATTGAAAATAATATGGCACTATGTAGATTTTTTTTTTTTTATGACATTTCTCGAAGCTTTTTTTTGTTTTCATAACATTCTATTGTCAGTTGAGCATATTTTATTTTGGGAAAGCAGGTTATCATGTGAACAATCTTTGACAAAGTGAAGAAAATAGATTCACCTATACTGACGTTGGTAAACAGATTCATATACTACTCAATGGAGAACTTGATGTCTCCTACTTTGGAAACAACTTGCTATAAATAACAGAAACCCAAATGATCACTAAAAGTTTTGTGGAAAATAAAATTCTACAAAAGACAAATAGGTCCAAGCCGTGTGTGACCCAGAGGCTATGACTTATACGCATTTTCTTGCGCAAGGAAATTACATTTCTTGACTCCGTAAAGCGTTTCCCATCACTGTAGCCAATTTATAGAGTACTTCATTTTCTATATTTTAATATATACAATCATATCTACAATAACGAAAAATTGACTCCAGAATATAAAGTCCATGTTTATTATTAGTGTCGTTATAATCAGCTGAAAATTTTAAACTTATAGTGGATTAATCTATGAATTAGTTTTTACAATTTTCAAGCATCTTTTGTTATATATACATATAATTAGGTGGTTTATAAGCTTTTTTTCGTCAAGAAGGTGGTTTATAAACTATGAGCATCGATTATAGACTAAAAAAAGAGTTGGCTAGGATATTTAAGTTGGTCGATCTTGTTGGCATTTTCCTGTATATTCATTTTAATTAAAAGGGAAATGCATAAAAAATGGACTTTGACAAGGAAAATGTCATATTTAAGAATGGTGGGTTCCTCGACCTCCTCAGCTTTCTTACCTCCTTCCTCAATCTATAAAAAAGAACTCTTAAATCTTCTTCTATTTATCTACAAAAACCCCCACCAGTTTCCTTCTTTTCCCTTAAGTCAAAAACTAAATTGCAATAAAGGCCTCATAGCACGACTTGATCATCCACTAGCTTTTGTCTGAATCAGTAAATCAAGAAAAGAGAAGAGGACGAAGAAGAAGAAGACAACTGATGAAATGGGTCTTTTCCTTTCATGCCTTTCCTCTTCCTCTCCATCCAAAAACAAAACAGGTCACCACAGTCATGGTAATTCATTATTATCCTATTAAGAGATGTTCCAATTCTTGCTATTGTGTGTTTTTTTTTTTTTTTATAATCTCTGTCACATAAAACATTAATAGATATTCACTTTCCGACATCATAATATGGTTCACTTTCTGACATGGCTGCCTTTTTGATGTTTTAAATTAGTCTCGACGAACAACCACAGTAATGGAACAGAGTTCTCGTCATCAACGACCACCACGGCAGCGACGACAAACACTAGCGTCGGACAGAGTCAATTCTCGGAGGCGGTTAGCGAGAGCTCCGGTGGCGTTATGAGTTATTCCGGTCAAATATTGCCATCTCCGAATCTCAAAGTCTACAGCTTTGCGGATTTAAAGACTGCGACCAATAACTTTAAACCGGATTCGATGTTGGGTCAAGGAGGTTTCGGTAAAGTTTACAGAGGTTGGATCGATTCCAAGACTCTTGCTCCTTCTAAAGTCGGTTCCGGTATGATCGTCGCCGTCAAAAGATTGAATTCCGAGAGTGTTCAAGGCTTCGCTGAGTGGCGTGTAAGATCTCTCTCTTTCTCTCTATTTTCAATGAACAATTCACATTCAACGAACAACCACTTATTTTCCGATCAAGATGAAGAGTTGACTATTGTAATCAATAAACGACCTTGACTTTCTGTTTGAGTGTTGCAGAAGAATGATTAAAATAATTTTTTTTAACAATACTAATAAATAAAACTTGTTTGTACTAAGGTTTAGGTAAATTACTAGTTTTAAACCAGGGATTCTATTAGTATCATGTTATTTATCAATTGTCTAAGTCTATCACAGAATTATATAATGGTTTGAAAGTTGAAACTGATTTACTACCTTTTTCATTTATAATTTTATATCCATTGTGTGCAACATATTCACTTTAGTTAGAAACTTCCCATTGTTACTGGACTTTGAGTTGGGGACACGTAGCTATCTTATTAGCTGTATGATATCATAATCAAGGTATTATTCCGATGTCTATCTTTTTGAAAAAATATTATTCCTATGTTTTGACCCAAATGGTATTTATACCGTTATTCATATGTTTTAAACCCAAAAAGGTATTCATATGTAACATCATAGTTTAGAATTGGTAAAAGTTTTTACAGAATAGGATTTGTCTTCAAGTTAAAAAGTCAAATTTGAGATTAATTTGGGTTGGTTTTTGACTTTGGACAGTCAGAAGTTAACTTTCTGGGGATGCTTTCACACCCAAATCTGGTCAAGTTATTAGGATTCTGCCGTGAAGACAAAGAGCTTCTGCTTGTCTACGAGTTCATGCCTAAAGGCTGCCTTGAGAATCACCTTTTCAGACGTAATTAAAATCTTATAAACCCCTCAAAAACACCAACCATGCTTGTCACAAAGATTGATTCGAATTACATTTTAGTATTATACTTTACTTTGTGTGATCCTTATCTGATTCAGGAGGCGAGCCTTTTCCTTGGGACCTAAGGATCAAAATTTTGATTGGTGCAGCTCGTGGCCTTGCGTTTCTTCACGGCTTACAAAGAGAAGTCATATATAGAGACTTCAAAGCCTCCAATATACTTCTTGACTCGGTTAGTCTCATATAAACATCATCCCTCCCACATTATTTGATGGTAATAACAACTAGTAGAATTTTTAAATGTACATCTGTTGCTGATGAGATTTTGTTTTGAAAACGTTCATCTGAGCAGAACTATGATGCAAAGATTTCAGATTTCGGTTTGGCGAAGCTAGGACCATCACAAGAGAAGTCACACGTTACGACTAGGATCATGGGCACGTATGGTTACGCTGCTCCCGAATATATGGCGACAGGTACATTTAGAAAAACATATATTAGCCACTGTTTATTTTGTAACAGGTTAGGTTAATTAGATTCCAGTGGATAATATAATTTTCTTTTTTTTTTCATTGTCAGGCCATTTATACGTTAAGAGTGACGTCTACGCCTTCGGTGTGGTACTACTAGAAGTAATGACCGGACTAAGAGCACACAATCCAAAACGGCCTAACGGACAGGAGAGTCTAGTTGACTGGTTAAGACCAGACCTCGTAAACAAACACCGAGTGAAACATATAATGGACAAAGGAATCATAGGTCAATACTCATCCAAAGTGGCGGCAGAAATGGGACGCATCACACTCTCTTGTATCGAGCCAGACCCGAAACACCGACCCCACATGAAGGAAGTAGTCGATGTACTCGAACACATCCAACGTATTAATGTTGTCCCAGACCGTTCTTCCACTAAATCGCATGTTGCTAGCTCATCACGATCCTCACCACTTCACTATCAGTACGCGTATAAAGCTGGTGCAGCGGGGGCTGAACGAAGGAGGGCCTCACCTCGAAGGTTTGGAGTAGAGAAAGAGTTGGTTGCTTGATGTTATATTTTTTTGGGCGAGACGAAATGGTTTTAGTGTTCTTTTTGGTTCTATTCTATTCTAAAATGAGAGTAATTATATCTTGTTTTGCGTCAATATTCTTTTGAGTGTCTTGTGTATAATATTTTTTTTACTTGTGTTGTTGTGTGATATACTAACCATTGCTAAAAAGTTGTGAAATTTGATCAAATATCACGTTGATAAAAAAAGTTTGAAAAGAAGGGATATATACATACATATATATATATATATATATATGTTTGTAAGGTTTAGACGTATTTATCTGTAAGCACTTTTGTAAGTTTTCCTATCTCTGTACACGATGGTTAAGAAGTTGAATGCTTTTATAGTTTAGGGTGTGGGAGTTGATAGTTTTGTAAAGAGTTTATTGATCGATAGAATTTTGAGAAAAAAAGGAAAATGGTGTTCACTCGTATTCCGCCGTCTATCCAAACATTCACATTCCATACTTTTGGTGTTTGCAGATTTCTTTTCTAATTACTTTCATATAAGACTAGTAGATTTGTTTGGATGCTACTTAGTTGAGCTTATATTTGCCTTTTTGATTTGAAGTTTTGCAGAAATTCTTATGATGGATGAGTAATTATGATTAAAAATGTTTAAAGAAGTGACTGATATCTTCTTGATCAAAAACTATCAGCTCTGAGGGATTTTCATCTTCTTATTTGTAATTAAAAAAAAAACATTAGGCTTCTTATACATTAGTTCACACATTCTTTCATTTTCAAATTTTACATTCCGGTTGCCCTAAAAAGGAGTCCGTGCTGGATACAGATAGTACATGTCCGTCAATTATTTCGTTTTCATTTGTATGATAAAAACAACCCTTTCTGCATGTGAATTTCCATAAATAGATAAAGTGTTGCAAACAAAATAAAAAGCAGTAACAACATAAAAAAAAAAAATCCAAACCTAGTTCAAAACAGGAAAAAACAAAATGAGATGAAGTTAAGATAAAATAAGTTGAATGAAAATAATCAAATAGCTAATAATGTGTTAAACTCAAACATCTTCACTTGGCTTTGTCCTCTTCCTCTTCCTCATCCTCTTTTGGTGGTGACTTATTAAGATCAAACTTTGCTATGCTTCCAGATTCAGTCACTTCCTCGTTACCTTCCTCCACACGATCCACATTCACATCGATCCCTAAACCTTTCCCACCTTCTCCACCAGTAGCACCACCACTACCAGAAGCAACAACACCACCGGCCGCGGGAACAACCCCACCAGAGCTCTCTCCTCGAGGAACAACACGAACAAAAGCAGAGTTTGGTCCTGGAATCATGATCACTCCCCTTATCGGCGCAGTGAATATAGGAGGAGGGAGATACCCTCTGTAGTTCCTGTCTTTATGAGACCTCAGATGTCCAAACACAGCCTTCCACGAATGAAACCCTCTTCCACAGACGTTACAAACCGGTGGTCCTCTCGGGAGGTTAGTGAACTCCGAAGTCTTCCTCCTCGGCTTTTTCACTTCTCCTCCTTTACCCGAACCACCCGCTTCGTCGTCATTTTTTAGGTTCTTTCTCTGCCTTCTCACTTTCTCCTTCTTCCCATCGCTCTTCTCTTTCATCACCGCTTCCGCTGCCGCAGCGATAACCAACTCCGCAGCAACAACCGCTTGCTCATTCAGAAGCGCCTCTGCCTCTTCATCAACGGCGCTACTAACACCGAAGGTTGCGCTGCTGATTGATAAAGCAGGGAGACCGAGAACGATTTCTCTCATGGCTGATTCTTCATCACCACTCCATTGCTCATCGGAGGAATCTTTCTTCTCATTCTCAGTCTCATCATCCACTTTCATTTTCTCCGGGTTACTCATTTTCTTTAACCTTTCGAAAACAATGTTTTCTAACTCGGTGGAAGTAGTCTTTTTATAGTTTTCTTGTGAGCCACGGTAGTTATGGGCCGCTAGTTTCAAAAGGTTGTGTTCGTTCGCTTAGATCTCTCTCCCACCTTTTCGTTTAATCCGTCGGAGTTAATTACAAATCCACGTGGGCTTCATTGAATAAACACGCGTAAACTCAGTGGGCTTAACGAATATTAAGCCCATCTGCAGTTTATATTATCACTTAGACTATTTACTTTAAAGAAAATCATGAAATATTGTTCTATTAACTAACTATACATATTTAAAAAAACTTAATTTATTAAACCAATATTGAAAATTTAGTTATCTAAATATTTGTATATATATTTTAGAGATCTCTATATTTTAATCGCAATTAATTATTTGAAGATTCGTTCTCTGGTTATTTATATAAAACCATCTGTTAGAGAACTAAAAACAAAGAAGACCAGCCTTGGTTCTTTGAAGCCGGACTCTTAACTTAAATCTAACCTGACAAGAAAAGTAGTCTTTTTGTTAATCAAGAAAAAATAGGTTACTGACAATCCAACAAACTGACTAGAAAAAATTAGTTTGTAGCCAAAATTGAATGAATGCATAAGAAGAAGACAAAGAGGAACATGAGTCACAACTACAAGAGTCACTGACCAGTATGCAGCCAAAATTGAATGGATGCATAGGAAGAAGACAAAGATGAACATGAGTTACAAGCGTCAGTGACCATAGCTGATGATTTATTTCATGTTAGAAACAAACAGATCATATTAAGTGACCCATGTTCTTGTCACATGTTCCCACGTCGTTAACCCGAGAATTCCTCTGTTCTTGACCTTCTCTGTACTATATATAGTAACGGTCAAGAACCTTAATGGAGCATCTCAACCAACATACAGAGTTCTTAAATAATTATTATTCATGGAGGGTTTAGATTCAGTTTTTCTGTCTGATCGAACCACACACCATCCGGTTCGATCTGTGAGTCTTCCTTCAAGAATCCATCCACTCTCTTTTAAACTCAGAGCAGCCTTGAACCGGCTCAGTATCTGGAAGAGATCTTCTTCCTCAAACTCAGTTTCAGCTTCTTTCGGGTCCGAGACGCTTCTCGTTGGACTCGTGAACCTCACAGAGCTCTACGGTTGCGTCCACGAGCTACTTGAGTCCCCTTACGTGAGACACACTCTTCGTCACCACAAAAACGGGAAACTTCTAGACGATTCTTTAAATGGATCCGTTGTGTTGCTGGACGTGTGTGAGGCAGCAAGAGAGGTGATTGTCACGATGAGAGAGCACATGATGGATCTCAAATCAGCTATACGTAGGAAAGGTAGCGTAGAGAAGGAGGTTAGGGCATATGTTAACGTGAGGAAGAAGGCAAAGAAAGAAATCTCCAAACACATCATTGGTCTCAAGAAAATGGAAGCTAGAGATATTTCCACAAACATAGACCAAGATCCAGCGGTAGCATCCACGAGTGTTCTCAGAGAGACAATAGAAATCTCTGTCTCGATTCTTAGGCATCTTTTGTTGTTCCTATCGACAACACCACCACCACCACAATCTCCAGCAAGGAAGATCAAGAACATCATTGGGCTTTTTCCGATTCCTTTGGCATCGTCTTCACTAGCAGATAAGTATCTGGATCTGATCAAAGAAGCGAAAAGTCTTGACGATGTATTTTTGGGTTCTATTGGGGATTCGAGAAGAACCTTCAGTGAAGTTGAGAAGAAGGAGAGGAGAGATATTGTTGAAGAGAGCTTTGGTCATCTAGAGGCAGAACTGGACTCTGTTTTCAAGTGCTTAGTTAAGAACAGAGTACTGTTCCTTAATATCCTGAGTAGCTGTTGAGACCGAGTCTTTTTTTTTTCTTTTTCCTCCGAGCTTTTCTTTTTGTCCATCAGATGTATACATCTTTGTCCTCGAGTTGTTTCTCTTGCAAGAAAAAAAAAAAAAACGAGAATCTCAGTTTTGCACTATTGTAAACCGGGTTTGTTCTAAGTATAAACCGATGTTTGTATCATCTAGGGGTGTTCAATTCATATGTTGATTCGGTTACGGTTCAATTTTTAGGTATTCCGGTTTCTAGAAAATATATATTATATTAGAATCATATCTATTTTGGTTTAGTTTAGTTTTTGTACCGTAGATTTCGATTTATTCGTATTACCAAAAACTATAAATATATTATATTTTAATCTATATGATTAGATACAAGCTTTAATAAAGCATAAAATTATTTCAGTCTTTTTTTTTAAAAAAATAGAACATTTTTTTACTACTTAAAATAATTAGTAAACATATTAAGTTAATAATAATGATAATTTCATAAATAAAAATAAGAAAATTAGTAACAACTATATTATTAAATAACTAAATATTAACACAAATATTTATTAACAAAGTAAAAAATTATGTTTGGTTTAATTCGATAAAAATGAAAAAAAAAAAATTTAACTTCAATAAATACTAATTTACTAAAATTTATTGGTTTGAACACTCCCAAATTCATCTAGAGCTCACGTTTGTACTAATGTAAAATAAAATATAAATCTCATGTAAGCATATAGTAAAAGATTTATGTTAAGTTTAAGGATTATTTTGGGTATAATCTTATATATTAAAACAGAAGTCATGACTTGACTTCATGTGTGATTTTTTAAAAAATGGACTATTACTAGAAAATTATGTTACATTAACTCTCTAATAATCTTATCATTATTATACATATTTTATGAAAAATCATATTTATAATAACAAAGATACACTTAACAATTTGGTTTTGGTAAATTACCCTACATCTTCCAACTTATTCACGCAAAATATGTCAATAGATATAAGTTTAGGATTCTTCTATTATTTATAAAGAAATATGTCAATAATAGTTAAATGCATCTACAATATATTAACAAAAATCACAGATTATTAATATGGAATATTTATATANTTTATAATAACAAAGATACACTTAACAATTTGGTTTTGGTAAATTACCCTACATCTTCCAACTTATTCACGCAAAATATGTCAATAGATATAAGTTTAGGATTCTTCTATTATTTATAAAGAAATATGTCAATAATAGTTAAATGCATCTACAATATATTAACAAAAATCACAGATTATTAATATGGAATATTTATATATCCTAACAAAATTTACACGCTATATATATTAGATAAATTTATTTCAATGTAAATTTTTAAAATTATATTTTTTTTTTAAAAAAAGAAATTGTTTAAAAAGTTCTTTTTAAAGTAAAATTCTTTATAATATTAATTTATGAAGCTATAAGTTTAGTTTTTAGCAAAAATTTCTTCGAAGTTTATATTATCTTTGCAAATTAAAGTATACTAATATTTAATCAAGCTCTATTTCTATTACTTTATCTAAAAATGAAATACTAATCTAGCAAACAATAAAATATAGAATAAGAAACAATTTCAAACATATATAATATAGAAAATTTGAAACAATCTATTTGATTAAAACACTTATTATATAGTATTATTATGTTTGAAAAACATTTACTATACATATCGTAAATATGTGATTACTATAATATGTACCAATTTACAAGTGAAAACAAAACGTTTATATAACTAACTATAAACGAAAACAAACACCCGCGCGGTTGCGCGGGTCAAAATCTAGTTTTAGTTTAAAATACAACGTATTGATTTTATCATTACATGTGTGACTAATTAATGTTTTACCAGAATTAAATTCCAACCTGATTTAAAAAAAAATAAATCGTTGACAGCCTGGTGATTTGCATGATTGCATCAAATAGATTATAGGTCTACCATATATTAGCAAATACTTCCTTCAAATTTTTAAAACGATGTGCATAAATTCCACAAATTCTAATCTATCAAAGCTCTGCTAGCTAGAGTGACGAGATTCAGTGTTTATCAATCATTACAGCCTAATTGTTTGTAGAATAGCATTTTGTGAAATACAAAACTTTACTATAGACACTTGTTTCTTCTAGCTAGATCTTATCCGAATGATAATTGGTGTAAGAATCTGATAAAGTTAAAGCAAGATCATTGGCAACTTTCTTTTGTTCTTTTGTAACCGATCTTCAAAGCATACTTTCTTCTAGCTAGTTCTTATCCGATTGATAATTGGTGCAAGATAAGTTTAGGAAGATCACTGGCGATGACGTGGAATCTGTAAGTACTCTTTATCTATTTTTTAAAGGAATGTTTGTTTAGATCTTTATATATTAATAAGAACATTAGCATAGTGTGATGGAACATGTAATAATTGGTGCCCACAATCTAAAAGCAAAACAAAGTTCAACTAAAAATGTTAGGCTTTTTACACGTGTACCAGATGCAGGAGACAACCCCATACGATGGGGGCAAATCGATCAGATAGTTTTTTGTGATATGAATCTACGAATTAAGCATAACGTTTATACACGTGTAAAGTTTGATATGAATCTACGAATTAATAGTGCAAAGCATAGTACTATAGTAGTCTCAGAGAGTAACCATTGTTGGAAAATTTACTTTTGTTGGTCGATTTAAAGATAGTTTGAGAAGTATACTGTTTCACTCTAGTTTAATTGTGTCAACTATAAAATATAATTATTCAATTTTAAATTACTTTTCAGAAACATATGCGTATATACGAAGTCAGACATGCTATAACATCATTATCAAATGTTATTCGTTTTAAAAGTCAATCAGATTAAAAAGAAAAGTCTGTGAAATCACGCAAGTAAATACACTCAAAATCCGTGATCCTCTTGTACGTGTCGTAATATGAGAAGCCATGCAGAGGAAGTTACATATAAAAACATTATATTGTGTTTCTGTACAAAACTCTCTTCATAGTAAAGCAACACGTAAAATGATTGGATAATATATGGTAAATCTGGATCTAGTAACCTACCGAGACAACTTTATGACCGTCGATACTTTTAACTTTAAAATAACCAAAATGTTTTTGCTGATAATGTGGCGAAACCAGAGACATCACAAACGATGACTCATCAGGCTTTACTCTGTGGCCAAATAATTTGACCAATATAATACCCCGACAGCTCAGAAAGTCACAGATTTGCCAGTAATAATCGGACCAATCAAATTTATCAATTCAATTATTGTTATAGTTTTTGTTGGTTATATAAATATGCATGTGTAGATCAAGTTGAATAGCAGATCGATCAAAGAAGGAAAAAAAAAACTCAAAACACCTTTATCAAAACGAGAAAAAATGTTGAATATGACTATCAAGAAACAACTAAGATCCATCAGTTTACCTTCAAGATCGCATCCGAGCACGAGAGAGATCGAGGAAGCTCTAAACAAGGTTAAAGCGATTGACACCACGTCGGGTTCATCAAAATCAATCTTGACGGCATTGGCTGGTTTGGAGGAGCTCTATACTTGTACGGAGGAGTTTCTAAAAATGGGTTCGACGCAGCGTGTTATGTCCTCTGATGGATCAGAATTTATGGAGGAGATGCTTGATGGGTCTTTAAGGCTAATGGATATATGCAACATCTCTAGAGATCTCATGGTGGAGACTCACGAACATGTTCGTGGTGTTCAGTCATGTGTCAGACGCAAGAAAGTAGCCGGAGGAACTGATCAACTAGATGTAGCTGTCTCTGGCTATGTCAGATTTAGAAAGAACATGAGAAAAGAAGCTAAAAAGCTTCTTGGGTCATTGAAGAAACTCGATGGAGGGTCGACATGTCCATCGTTGGGGGAAAGTGATGGCCAACAAGATGATCATCTTGCCGCGGTTATCGAAGCGATGAGACGAGTAGTTTCAGTTAGTGTGTCGGTGTTGAAGTCGTTCTTGGAGTTCTTGTCGGGACGACAAAGTAATATTAAGAGCAAGTTGACTTCGGTACTAAAGAAAAAGAAGGATCATCATGAAGAGACGAAGAACGAGTTGGAGAGTTTGGATTCCGCAATATGCTGCTCTAGTGATGATCTACAAAATAAGCTTGAGGAGTTCGAGATGAGCATTGATGGATTTGAGAAGTATCTAGAAGGTTTATTTCGAAGGTTGATAAGAACACGAGCCTCGCTTCTCAACATAATCTCTCATTAAATTCTAAATTATGCATGTAAATTAGTTGTAAAGAATTTGCGAGACGGCTACATTAGTCACATAAGATTTTGTACACTAATCAAACAGATAAATGTAGATAATTAAATACATTTTGTGAAAAAATAGATACGATGTTGCGTTTATATTTTCCACGATATTGGAAACTTTATTTAACTTAAACTTACAGTCAGGATTCAATGTTTAAATCAAACCAGTGACTATAAAATTTTAAAATATCTAGGAAACAAATTACTGCATTGATAAATATATGCATCATATATTGAAAATGATATAATCGAATGTAAATTTAATAATGTTTTTTTGAAATACAAAATTATCCGCTAAAGATTTATGTTGCTTTCCTTCTCCATATACAGTATTCGTTGATACTAAACGTGTATTTAGCTTGCAAATTTTGGTTTAAGCTCGTAATTATACACCGCTTAATAAAACTTAATGCTATTAGTTGAAATTTTGTTTATACAGTTAGATAACTATACTGAAAGTTACATATACAAGCATTTGTGTGAAAAATGCCATGAAATGATGAAAAATAGCTGACTCAAATGACTTAGGTATCGGTTCTCAATTTCCAGTTAATTTCGACTGAAGAAACCAAGTTATGGCTTACGGGTTCAGATCAAAATTCGATTTTGTGTAAAGATAGTTTGTCAGACACGGATTATCCTTGTGATCCCAATATTTAATTATGACAGGGGTAGTTTCGTCAAAACAATATTTTAAATTAAATCCAACGGACGCAACACTTCAAACGAAAAGGCGGGAGAGAAAGGGAGAGGTATAGACATTAACTGTCATACGATCAAAGAAACTATAAAATTCAATTAGATAGGTCACTAAAACTCATTACTCTTAACAAAGTCAAAAAACATGAGTAATCCCGAGGAAACAAAAATGAATACTGAGGCAGAGATTAATGAAAATTCTGGTGAAAGTGATTACCTCTCGAGCGACGATGAAGAAATGGAGTTTCGTGAAATCGTTCTCGCCCTTCCTGCGCTGAGTCTTTGTGGAAGTCCAGTAGTGGACGAAGCAACTCGCCAAAAAGCCATCGCCGCGGCTGACTTATTGATTGCTGCCTCTCAAGAAGCGTTGGTGACCAAAGGTAATACGGAACAAGGGGTTGGTGGAAGTGGTGAAACATCTAAAAAGAAAAAGGCTCGTCGTCCAAGGAGGGTTAACTTGGACATCTTGGCAGATGTGGCCGGTGAAGAGCCGGCAAAGAAGCCTAGGAAGAAAGGTTCTTCTAAGTTGATTAACCCACCTGATGGCCCTCCTAAATGTAACATTTGCGGTAAAACTTTTCTTTCTTGGAAAGCTGTATTCGGCCACTTAAGGGCGCATAAGGACCGTGGCTACCATGGTTTCTCTCCTCCGCCCACATTTAATGCGGCTGTTGCTGCTTCTTCCGGTGTACGAGGATCAGGTCTAGGCACCGGAGGATTACAATTTGATTTGAACGTCCACCCAATTGACGAGGAGGAGGAAACTACTTTAAAGTTTGATCTCAACAGGTCGCCACCACAAGATGATGAAGAAGACGGGAAAAAGGACAAAGCGGACTGAAGGCTTTGCGTTACCTAAAACGTTATGATTTGCTATTTTCTTGCTTAATTTATCTCTGCATGTGTGTGTGTATGCATGCAAACGATACTCTTCCTTGTCTACATTGTTTTCTTTGGTTTGTTATTTTGAAGTAACTACAAAAGTACTACATTATCCGTATTGTTTTTTAGAACTACATTATTCATGTTGTTCCTTAAATTATGTTCCATGATATTCTTGAATCAGTATACCATTTGGAAATTGCAGCACAGGAAAAGGGTACGTACGCATGCGTCTATGAGATAATATGTTACGCTAGTTCAATATGTTTTACTTTCATTTTTTATATTTTCTGATACTTGTAATTATGTATTATTTTTTCTTTACTCAAATGAAGTAGGTTGAATTGTTAAAAAAAAAAAAACAAAGGAGGTTGGATTAGCACTTGTATACCCTATGTTGTAAATAAATCAAAAGCTAATGGGATAATATGTTTATAAATAATAAATTTTAGCTTGTTAGATGTAAACTTGTAATCGAAAGTGCACACACATACCAGTACAACAAATCTTCCTAGCAGCGTGAATCGTGTCAACAAATTGATCATAGCTAAACACTTTAAATTCTCATATATCAGTATCTGGATGAATTTGAATATTTATAATCATGCATGCAGATTAATATATACTGTGCGTTTTTTAAAAGACTTTATATTTGATGATTGATGAAAGTTGGCTTGTTATTTAACTACAAACATAAATGCAGCAGAATGCATACCAGTATTTCATCTGTCCAGAGACTGCAACAAAAACGGCTGTTTTTATACTTTTGCGGGATGAGTGGTACTAAATGTAAATGTTAAAAAGCTCATTTCCACGTTCAAATACATCAGTGTTACATACGTTTACAACTTGCAAAACATATAAACTCAAAACACATGCCCCTCTTACACGTGCTGTAACGTGAGTCGTCATGCATTAGGCAACCATTCAGAAACATTAGTCTATATTTGACGAATATCTCTTCACATAGAAAAACTACACAAGATAAAATGATTATAGGAGGAAGACCTGGATCTCGCAACCTATCGAGACGATCTAAAGAGCATTGGTTATTTAAAATAACCCGAAAGGTCAATTTAATAAAAAAAATTGAAAAAGCTCGAAAGGTCAATTGCTAATGTGGCGAAGCCGGAAGCAACAGAGACGATGACTAATGAGGCTTGTTCTCTGTTGCTAAATATTGACCAATATAATTTCCCGACAGCTCTCAGAGTCACAGATTTTGCCAGTAATAATCGGACCAATCACATTAAAAATTTCAATTATTGTTGAAGTACGTGACAAGATACCATATGCTATATATATATATGCATGTGTAGGGCAAGTTGTATCAAACACATCGACCAAAGCAAGAAAGAAAAAAAAAACATTCAGAACACATTTATCATCGAAAAAGAAAGTTAAGAAACAAACACCAAAAGATGGCGAATATGATGATTAAGAAACAATTAAGATCAATAAGTTTACCTTCGAGATCACATCCAAGCACGAGCGGGATTGAGGAAGCTCTTAACAAGTTTAAAACGACAAACTCCAACAAGAGTTCGTCCGCTTCAATCTTGACGGGTTTGGCGGCTTTGGAGGAGCTCTACGATTGTACGGATGAGTTTCTAAACACGAGTTCAACGCAACGTGTTATGTCTACCGTTGGATCAGATTTCATGGAAGAGATGCTCGATGGGTCTTTGAGACTAATGGATATATGCAGCGTCTCGAGGGACCTCATGGTGGAGACTCAAGAGCATGTTCGTGATCTTCAATCATGTGTTAGAAGGAAGAAAGTAGCCGGAGGAGGAGACCAAGTAAATGTTGCTGTTTCGGGCTATGCCACATTTAGAAAGAACATGAGGAAAGCATCTAAGAAGATTCTTGGGTCCTCGAAGACCATTGTTGGTGTGTCAAGTTCATATGATAATGGTCAATGCGATGAACATCTTGTGGCGGTTATAGATGCGATGAGACGAGTGGATGTTGTTAGTGATGTAGTGTTGAAGTCGTTCTTGGAGTTCTTGTCGGGACGACAAAGTAACATAAAGAGAAAGTTGGCTTCGGTATTAAAGAAAAAGAAGGATCATCATGAAGAGACGAAGAACGAATTGGAGAGTTTGGATTCCGCTATTAGGGGAGATTTATGCTTTTGTGATTATCTACAAGAGAAGCTTGAGGAGGTTGAGATGATCATTGGTGGATTTGAGAAAAATTTAGAAGGGTTGTTACGAAGGTTGATAAGAACACGCACCTCGCTTCTCAACATAATCTCTCATTAGAAGAATTTATAGTAATTCGACTTTTTTTGTACACTAATTAAACAGATACATGTATAGAGAGGCATTTGCCAAACAAAATAGAAACAATTTTGCAGTTATACATGCCTTTAACAAAAACAAACAACTTTGCTGTTATAATCCCATAGAACGTTTTAAAGCAATCAGCACTCTGGTTGCTAGATTCCTAAAGAATATAAAAATATTAAATTTGACATAATTCTGAAATTTTAGTTCTTTTTATGAATTTCTCATGAATTTCTTATGAATTTCTCACAAGCTTTTATTTGAAAACCTCATTATATTATCTATCTTTCTTCCTTTTGTATTATCTTTGTTTTATTATCACAAAATACTTTTATGAGCCTACTTTCAGTATGCTAAGACTCATGCGATATGATCATATATACTGGTCAGTGTATAACGTTTGATGATGGTAACATAGGCTCGATGGTTTGTTTAATCCAACCCACCAACAGGTGATTATTGGCTACCCAATCTTCTAAGGTCTCTGAATCTGCTGCAGGCTTAAGTATACTTCCATCAATGAAGCCAAATTTCTTGCGCGAGCTGAGAGCCATATGCAAGTTAATTGCCCACTCGTCACAGTTCGTACCGTTAAGCAACATGGGATGAAATCACAGCACCCGGATTGTCACCAGATGTCAGATCGAAGGGCGAGATGGTACGTGGTTTAGATTTCACGGCTGTGGTTGAGAGTTCCATCGTACACAAACCAATATAAATTCAACAAGACGCTCTGTTTTGCAAGCTTTCTGTTTTGACAAGCGGCTCTGTTTTCTGTAACAGAAATAGAGGTGGCTCTGAAGAAGAATGATACAATTCAAGCTCAATCGAAAGTAATGGATCAAAGCTCTGATACCATGACAAAATATGAACTGCTGAATATCAACTTGTCTTATTCCCAATATCGTTACAAGGTATTTATACAATCTCTATGTTAATCCCTTAACCTAATCATAAATAAGGCAATATCTAGAAAATAGGAAACTATCGTATATACACCAAGATATGAGAGTATATCATATCGTAATAACCACGTGTGATTCCGACAGTCAAAAACTTACTGGTACTAAACCACCTAAACTTATCGTATAGAGAGTTTTCTTACCGGTACTAAACTTAACCGACCCTGACGGTAGCCGAGAGTGAACCACCTATGACCATGTCTGGAGGAGGGATTGGGTAGCCATAGGCACACGTAGAGGCGAGTGTCTGTGTTACCGATTAGGGATAGAGCAGCGTGTATATCTGGAGAAGAGAGAAGAGAGTACAAGTGCTTGGAGACTAAGCAGAGGGAACGGTATTGAGATCTCGAGATCCGAGCTAAGATGTTCACAATGACATCATCTGGAATTGATGAAAACGATGGAGGCTTTGTCTTCGTCTTCTTTTTTTTTCTTACGAGGTGGTGGAGCTATAGGATAATTCGTCATGTGTCCTCTAGGGTTTCTGTGTTCACTGCTGCATGCTTCGTCTTCTAGTCTAGCGTTTTAACTTTTAAGTCGTTAAAACAACGACCTTTAAGGCCGTCTTTATCCCAGGGGTTGGGGTGCTTATTTATTTTTTATTTTATTTTTTAAATTTTTATCTAATTTAAAAAAAAATGAAATAACAATCGCGGACTGCCACTTCTCAATAGAACCCGTAAACAGTTCAAACAACAACAAAAACAGAGCACTTATTTAACAGGCATAAGCATCGTCATTTGGGGTTTTGGTGGACCCCTAAGAAGTAAGCGCCCCGTTTTTCCTCCCGATAATGCTGCTCTAAACTAGAAATTCATGTGAAAAGCCTTTTAATGTAACAGTTTCATTTAAGGCTTTGAATATTTGAATAGCAACCAAGGAACAAAAAATGATTATTTGAATTTCTTTTTATTCCTAACAAAATCACTATTTATATGGAATGATTTTTCATTCTTGTTCCTTCTCATTCTTTCTTATAGAAGAATATAGAATAATTTTTTTTTTTAGAATTAATAAAAAACAATCATTTTGTAATTTCTGGAATTTGATTTCTATCTATTTCTTTCTTATTTATTCAACATGTAATATTATTGTAATTGAAATAGTTACAAACTTTTAAGCATATGCTTAACATTAAATACATATAACACAAATAATTATAAATATATAAATAAAATTAAATATTCATGCAGTTGCACATGTTAAAATCTAATTTATATGTTAAAAGAAAATAACATAAAAGAGGGCAACACCATTGCAACACTATTAATCATTGACAATTCATAGTATTGTATAAACAATGGCAGCTTATTAGAATTATAATATGTTGAAAGCAAAACATATGAGTTTCAGATAAAAAAACATATGGTTTGAGAGCTTAATGATTTGTGTACTATATCCAAAACAACATTGCACCGGTCCACCTCCCCAAACAACATATTACCTGATGGAGCCTCGAAGCTAACACCATATTACCTGATGGAGCCTCGAAGCTAATCACCGCAGACCAAATACGCTTGTGTTCTCTGTGAGAAAAAATAAACAAAAAATAAGCAAAAAAATAAGGAAAAATTAAACATTTTTAAGAAATATATAGATAAATTATGATATTTTTAAAAAAATTTAGATATATTCCTAGATTAGAACTTATAATTTTTAAAGAAACATCAAACATAATTATTAACTTTTAAATTCATTAAAATATAAATATATCGTTAATTGTTTTTTTGAACATGGTTTAACCTTCACTAATGGTTTTAACAAAAAACCCCTCACATAACGTGCAGATCTCTAAGCCCAGATCCCGAGAAAGGAATCTGAGCGCAACCATACTCCCTCTCCGCCTCCGAGTCAAATTATAAATATATCGTTATTTTGTTTCAAAATGTTTGCTTCAGTTTATTGTAATGAGAATGATCCAGATAATCGGTCCGTTGATTATTATTTGGTTCTTTTGTTTATTTGGTTTGAATAATGCTACACTTCGTCTCAAGATGAAAAACTTTGTTCGTATTCTTTTTATGTCTTAATCTAGTGTAAATTTGTAATAGTTCGTTGATTATGACCTCTACAGTTTTGAGCTTTTTAATAGCATATTGATAAATTTAGTTCTGAAAATAATAGCATTAGTTTGAACAATTATAAGATCAGAATTTGTTTATTGTGTAATGAGAATGATTCAAATCCATCTATATTGATTATTATATAAGTTTTTTTGTCTTATTAAAAGTCATCTTCTTCCCAATGTCTGGATAAGAATTTATCAGAATGAGCTTGATAAGATTGTTTATTTCAATCTTACAATATTAAAAGCTCTTAATAAGAGTCTCTCAGCTATGCCACGTCGACTATTATAATTAACCAATCAGAAACAATGAATTTGCCATGTCAGACCCAGGCAGACCTAACTTCTCCGTAAACTTTCCCGACTTCTCCGCTCCTTTCATCGTCAACAGAGAAACATAAAGAGACTGATTCAAGGAGGATGTCGATCAGGAAGCTTCTCCTTCTTCTGAAACCGATAGATCTGTTCCGTCAATCAGAAAGTGCGTCGCTCATCAAAAACCCTCAGGTACTAGCCTCATCACTTTTTCCTTTAGCCAAAGCTCTATATTATGGAAACAAAAGTAAGTTTCGATTGATCTCCTTTGTCTCTTTTATTCACAAGTATATGTCAGTTTTTTTTAAATACATGTGAGACAATTTGCAAGGCCAGACTTTGGGAGATGGAACTAAGAGAAATCACAGAACATAATTTAGACAGGTCAGAGATCTCTGTTATTTTTTTGGGTCAAAGATTTCTGCTATTATCGTCTCAAATTTGGTGTCAGAAGCCATGACCATTTTAGTTTGGTTTTAACGTTTTCTTTCGATTTTNTTTTTTTTAAATACATGTGAGACAATTTGCAAGGCCAGACTTTGGGAGATGGAACTAAGAGAAATCACAGAACATAATTTAGACAGGTCAGAGATCTCTGTTATTTTTTTGGGTCAAAGATTTCTGCTATTATCGTCTCAAATTTGGTGTCAGAAGCCATGACCATTTTAGTTTGGTTTTAACGTTTTCTTTCGATTTTGTTTCTCAGGATAGAACACCGGATTGGAAATTGTTGAGGGAACTTAGAGAAGACATGACTGAGAATCAAGATACATGTTAGAGAAGATGGTATATAAACTGAATGTGATCTTCATATCTTTACGTCCTTGAATATTATTTAAGCTGGTTTAATTTTTTCTTCTGGTCTTGGTTGTCAGACTAGAACGCAGGATGGGAGAGCGAGTGGATCCACATGGAAATCAAAATCCCGAAATTAGACACCAAGAATTCAGGTGAATAGAGATGCGAGAGGCGTTACCAACAACTTTGCAAACAGAAACCAAAAAGATCAGAGAAAGATGCAGAGGTCAAGTTTAAAAAACAGCAAGGAGGGCAGGTACATAATAGCTACAGTAGTGAATAATATGTGTTCATGGTCAAACCATAACAAAACAGCCTCACCTGTGGAAATAGATTAAAGAAATAAAACTAAGAGAAGTGAAAACACTCAATGATGTTTCTATGTGGATTAGGTTGGGCGTGGGCATATTATTTCACAACATCAGGCATTTTGATATTATTCTATCATGTGAGTTGCATATTAATACATTTGGGTTCTTATGTAACTTTTTGATAAAGCCTTTGACATTCGTTTCAAAGCAGGAATCTCATAACTTGAAACGGAATTTTNAAGAGAAGTGAAAACACTCAATGATGTTTCTATGTGGATTAGGTTGGGCGTGGGCATATTATTTCACAACATCAGGCATTTTGATATTATTCTATCATGTGAGTTGCATATTAATACATTTGGGTTCTTATGTAACTTTTTGATAAAGCCTTTGACATTCGTTTCAAAGCAGGAATCTCATAACTTGAAACGGAATTTTCAACAGCCATGAAGAAAGACAACAAAATGGGTGATAAAGACAGAGATAGAGAAGCTGATTGCTTCATGACTTTCCTACTTCGGCTTA